CATAGTATCGTTACAATTGTACAACGCCGTCACGTATGACATTTGCACGTGCCGGAGTGAAAAAAAATTCGGGTGCGCGCGTACTTTATACACGGGGGGGGGGGTGACACGCGAGTCTTTCGCGCACGGTCTGGGGGAGAACAAAGAGAGAGAATTGACTTCTTGCAAAAAGTACTACAAGCTACTCGGTGATTCGTAAAAGTTTTTTTTCTGTTCCGGCGGCGTGTCGGAGTAGTCGTGCGCCGGAGAGTCGATGAAGGCGGGCGGACGCGCACGATGGTCGGTGGTCGATTTGTGGACGTGTAGTACGCATCGCCTTGGCGGGAACAATGACAGGTGACGAGACGGAGAGACATAAGTCTCTCCGCGCGTCACATTTACGTTACATCTACTAGCTAGAAAGCTGTTGTTTGTACGAGGATGAATGAAACTTAGCGAAGTTGAGACTGCGAATCTGTTTGCAACACACAAGCGAGAATACGGACATGACGTATCTCGCCAGAGAGTTTCGTTTGATTATCCTACATTGCGAAAAGCTCTCGATTTTCGTGAATTTGATTACAACGCAACGCGCTTCTCGCGTGGCGGAGTATCATCGTTCGCGTCGTTTGACGAAGAGTCGACAGAAACCTGATCGCACTATCCGCGTTACGACGACAAGGGGGATGGACACCCCCCACAGGGGGTTTGTGATTGATGTTTTTGTCTGGTCGCTTTCGACAAACAGCGGAATGTACGGCGACAACAACCGAGAGAATCGAGCGTCCCGGAACTTAACTCTTTTTTGCGGAGAGTCGTCGATCAATTATTTCACGTCAAACTGATCTCTATAATATGTTGTTGTACATTATTAGATCTGCTCGTCATTTTGTTGTATCTTTTACATATGTATACGTCTTTGTTATATATTATACACGCGCTAATTTCGAGCTCACAATCAACCCGACAATCGGAATACTCGAGCGAATCAATATCCCGAGACTCGACTGTTTAATTAAAATTTTTTTACGTTCGGAGATAATTAGTTTCCAACCGTTATCTTCAACAAATCAATCAAATTGCGCTTAGATTGTGTATCTCTCTTCGCCAAACTTCACGCCAATAATATACACACGTTGGTTAGACGCTGTCGGCGTTGGCAATCATGTTGTTACGACTCTTTTCAAACGAGCAACGAAGGAGACCAAAAAACCGAGAGAGCGTTCAGATCGATTCTAATGGCGCGGCAAAAGTGAATTGAAAGCAACTTGACAGTGGAAAGAGCATAAAAATAACGGACACAAAACGTGTACTTGGTCGTAAAGAAATATCGTGAACGATGTTATCCCGCAATGTTGGGTTGTGTCCTTGCTCGCGCGCGACCGTCGTCACGTTTGTGTCAAGGCGAACTGCATAACGTACCGTTATATGCTGATATCAGATCGGTTCCGATAATATTCGCGTTCCGACAACGTAATAATTTTCTCCGAACCCCGGTTCGATCGTAATTGCGCTTCTGGTGGTGATTGCCGCTACGTTGATTTTACCTACCTACCTAGGGTGCGGCTTAAACTCGTAAAACCACATCCGAATTTCGGGCGTTAAAAACAGACTTTCTGACGTCTCGTCTTCGATTTGCTTGGTAACTAGACTAACACCGAAAAAATGGTATTCTTGTTTTGAGGATATCCCACTTACTTTAAGTATATTTTATACTAAAATAGGGGCCAAGAAGAGTTTCTTATTTTAAGAGGAAAATCCTCTAAATAGTAATATTGATAAGAATATAAAAAGCCTCTATAGAAAAACATATATATCTCAGTATCGAAAAAGACTATATTCTTAAATAAAGAATATATTCTTAATTTCAGAAGAATATCATCTAAAATCTTTAACAAGATTTTTTAAGTATAAAATCTTCTACTTACGAAAATATAATTTTTTCGGTGTAGGTTTTGTCTCTCAGCACGTAATTTCTTGCGAATTACAATCGACTCCGTTGAAAATCATTTTTATCAGAATAAACGAACGATTTCCGCGTATTATCAGTCGTGTCGATTAGTTGCATAACATTGCATAAAACATTGAATAAACTCGATCAAAATTTATTGTTAGTTTTTTCATTTCATTGCCGTTAAAAGCCGTGAGTTTGGTGATTGCTCGGCGCGCGACCGGTTGTCCGAGCCGAGCAAAACGCGTTTTGGGGCGAGAAAAATTTCACAATTTCGCGCGATTTGATTTTCCGCGAAAGAAGAAATCTGACAAAATGCTTGCACAACTCTGACCTTGTCCTTCGCGAAAATTACGTTGTGTCGCACACAACGTCCTGAAATCCCTCAGGTCGTGTATGTTTTCGCGACACACGCCGAGTGTGAAGTACAAAACATCGCGAGTCGATATATCGATTCATTTCCGATAATATATTACCTCCCATGGCGATAACACGTGTGTGAGAGCGTGGATATATAACGTATATCGTGTATCGGCGCCGTTGATCCTCTATCTCGGCGTATCGGCTTTCGTGTTTAGCGCGTCGTGTCCAAATTGTCACGCTATGAGAAAACGTGCGAAAAAGTATGTATGTCCTCCGTCGTTTGACGACGGATGACGTTACCGATCGATCGAAAACGCACGCGTCGGAAATAAACCGCAACTGCAATCGCTTTTTGTTTTTTTACGGTCAAACGAAATTTCTGGTAAATTTTTAAACGCATATCGCAGCGCGAAACGCGCGTAGAAAAGTTTGCTTTGGAAAAAACCTAGAAAAGATAAAGGTAATTGAAACTCGAAGTTCTCGCACGACACGCGCGAAATCGGAGCCATCGGTCTCTCTTTCGCACGCGTCGTTGTTTGCTATACCGGTCGTTCTGACGACACATTTGTTTACGTAAAAGCGGACGTAAAGCGAGGCGACGCGTTTGTTTTCTTTGGTTTTGCGTTAATCATCGGATCAACAAAATGATGCGTTCGTAAAAAAAATTGCGTTTTTCTAAACATAAACGTACGTTGCGCTTTGAAAGGCTCGACTCTTATCGCCGACGCTTATCACGACGTGCAGACTGCACGTTCAGGAAGTCACCGACACACACACACACACACACACACACACACAACGCGAATCTAACGTCTACCCGCTGGCGTTACTGCGGAGCGCAATGAAGCAGGTGCATGACCCGACTCCAGACGACGACGACGGCGATATAGAGCGAATCGCGTATATTTCTAGAGCAGCCCGACTCAAGAATAGAACGTCAAGTAGACGCTTGAATTAAATATAGACGGTGAATGATCGGCAAGTAGAAATTGCAAAATTTAATCAAAAATTGAAATTACGCGCGAGTCCGCGCGCATCGACGTAGTTTCGGATCTCAATATATCCGATGCGCGGTACGGATTTATTAAAATTAGATATTCGTTCTCGCGAACATCCAAAACGCGAACGGTCAATTTTTTGTTCCGTCACCGAGGAGACGAGAGTCTTCGTTTGAACTCGGCGAAATAGTTGCGGACTGGCTACAGACCAGCAATATTGCAACAGTTTTATAAACGCGCGTCGTGTCAATCGCAGACATGATCGATGGCACGGTAATGCTCATAAACTTACAGACATTTTCCTCCGCGATTATTATTAGTAACGATCATGGAAATTAGCTTCAAGCGTTCAGAGACGATCATTTTCTCGTGTGCGATGACTCGTCGAGAATTCGTGCGGGAACACATTCGCGGCATTGAATGCGCTCGAAGCATCTGGAATTGATCGTAGAAATTTCATCGGTCATTTTTTATATGGCTGAGTCGAAATTTAGCGTCTACATTGAACCTCAATTCTTTTTTTTTTTATGTAGGAGTAAGAGAGAAAGTAGATCCTACTTTGACGCTGCTGTACGTCCGAAATTTCTTTTTTTTCTGCTAAAGTTTTAAAGTAGGGTTCAATTCTCAGATCAGGCTGCGCATTGCAGACTCTGATAGGCTCAAAATAGGCTCTGATAGACTCAAAGTGGGAGTAAGAAAAAAAGTAGATGCTACTTTGACGCTGCTATACGTCCGAAATTTCCTTTACGAAACGTAACAACACAAGTTCCGACAACTGCGCGCGGACATTTGCGGGAATGATTGCGAACGAGATATATTGCGCGCGCGTGTTCTCTCGTAGAAGTCGCAGGGGAAGACACAAGGAGAACATTGTAAATATCTGAAAGCAAGGAAAAAGGGGGATAAAAAATATCCGGGAAAGGCGAATTCGTATTATTCCAAAAAATATATAAGGCGACGGCTGAAATCAGCGCGCCAGCATTCGCAACGACAGAAGTGAAAACAAAAAAACAAAAAAAAAGAATTAAAAAAAAACCGGATTTGATGGGAAACCAATATCCAATAGTCGTTCTCTTGCCGACCTAAAAATTCTCCGTTTTTTTCCGGCAGAAAACTGAATTCTCCCGTGTGTTGCCGAGTGCGCACTTGCTTTCGCGTAAATTGATATATACTTTAGAATTTCACCGAACAGAACAGAGCGCGCGCGCGCGCGCGCACGCTTATTAATTGAGAAAAATCACGGGTGAAAGAAAACGAACGGCAATCGAGTCAGACGTGCTTTCAGCACGTCGGATGTTTGTCAAACGACCGGAACGTCGTCTGACGTGGCAGTTCGATATTCTCAACGAGCTACCTAGTGTACGTACGTGTTCGGAACACGTACATTGTTCGCGTCGTAGATAATGCACACTGGTGGTGTCGGTCGCTGGATTTCTTGTCGTCGGTTGATTAAGTTCCGCGCAACAATGCTTGAGTCTCAGTAATTCGGAGAGAAGTAGAAATATCCGGGACAAAGGGAAAGAGGATTTAGGAATAATCCTCTTTATATATGTATATATATATATATCATCCGACGTGTACGGCGCAACTTGTAATTCATCCCTTTTGTGACAAAAACACAGAGATTTCTCCATATATACATAAAAAAGTCGTAATAAAAAAATCTGTCGGAACGACATTTTTTTTTATTTTTATTTTTTTTCAGAAGGATGCCTGCAGCCGGTGCGGCGGTGCCGGCCGTGGCCGAGGGCGCCGGTCAGCTGGAGGAACTGGACGAACCGCCGGAGCCACGTGCGCGCGGTAATAGCGGACGGGCCGGCCTGATGAAACCCCTGGTGGTGTTGGCCCTGCCGGGGATGTATCTCTTCTACAAGTACAGCCAGTACAGACGGGAACAGCGCGAGCTCTCCCGCAGAAGAGTAACCGAGAGGGAGCTCCAGCATCTCCATCACAAGATCGTGAGTGAGAAGATTTTCCCGGATTGTTGATTGCTTGTTAACGATCGCGCCGAGAGCTTTTTCCTGCCGGGCAGGTCAAAGAACTTTGCGCGCGCGCGCGAGATAGGGTCTCGCGATCGAAACACACATCCCACCTGTTTGATTACGTCATCACAGTCCGAGTCTATCTTTAGCCGCGCGCGAAATCGGAATAAATTCGTTTACGCGCGCGGAAACACATTTGTTATATATATATATATATACGTTATTTAGGTCTACGCCCCGCAGACTTGCTTGTATTATTTTTACGCTGACGTGGAAGACGAAAATACAAAGAGCGCGCCGATTTGTCCAAGTTGCGAAATAAAAAAAGATCGAATAAATAATAACCGAGAGAGAGAGAGAGATAGAGAGAACACGCGATGTATCACTATTGGCCTCGATATAACGATTTATTATACAAATGCGCTCCGTAACGTGGTACACACCAACAAGAGAAAGATTGGTTTTGTTACGATGTATTGTATAATCCGACAGGAACAAACGACAACTCTAAAAAAACTCGCGACGATGAAAGCTATTTCGTCCCAATATTGATCCCTGTGATCGCGAGTAAACAACAACTTTCTCTCGCGTAGAAAGAATTCATTTTACCTTTTCTAATCAAAGGGTTTTAACGCTCGCCGATGACGTTACGTCGTTTACCGGGTCGTCGGGCGACGCGAAATGAGCCGCCCGTCAACGGGATGACGTGATTGCATATCTAGCATCCCGTCCATATAAGGCCGGATGATAAGCACGCGCGAGATAAGAGAGGAGACGGAAGTGGGAGAGACAAGGATGGGCGACAAGAGGGATTGGGTTTACGTGGGAGAACTCGGGGGATAAATGCGGTGAAAGGGGTTCGATTACCCCGGACAGGGGATCACTAACGTGATCATTCCCCCCGTCGGTTGAGAAAGCTGCATCATCTTCTAAAGACTGGAACCACTTGCTATTGTAAGTAGCGATCCTTATTAAGCGGCCTCCTTAGCGGCGTTTGTCTTCGTTATTATCTTAGATCTTCGCCGTCGCGAAGGAAATGAGATCTTATCGCGTAATATGGTACTCCGGTATCTCCGAAACTTTATATTCGGCGAAACTTCATCGAGTTTCCTCGTATCAAAGAATCTAAGTAATCATGTGATCTCTCTCTCTATCTCTCTCTCATCCGAGGCTCTCTTTGAAAACGAAAAGAATTTTTCGAATTTTTTCTTGTGAGAGAGAGAGAGAGAGAGTTGTTGTTTTTTACACACTTTGAGAACGCAGCGTTATTCCGAGTACAGTTCCGAGTCGCGAGAAAATTTCGATGATTTCGGAAAAAAAAAATCAGCCAATCGGTCGTCCGTCGCACCGTCGGGGTGGATTTCGTCGATATCCACTCTGGATAGCTGACACTGCGGAATTCGCCGTCTATGGAAGTGTTCCCCGCAGTCAGGGAACTCTGTAAACTCCGAACACACGCGTATTGATTTCCGTCCGTCCCGGGCTATCGTGCTCACAGTCGACTTAGCGGGTCGACTGATCGCTGATGGAAAAGCCGCGACTCTGAGATTAAAGTATCGGAAACGACATTTGTGCTAACAAATGATTTGTTTCGCGAAAATTTGTATCGCGTAGCGTGACGATCTTTGTTCAGCCAGATTGCGAATGGGATAAAAAAAACGAAGTCTCGCAAGTCCGTTTATTTCTACTACAGATAAGTAAAATCTCGGCTATGCGACACACACACACGCGCGCGCACACACACAGAGATAGAGTGTCAGCAACTCTATCCGCGACACAGTGCTCCGTCATCCTTTCCCAAGGTCGTTCCTTGCAAAGTCCCGGTTTGGATAATTTGTTAGGTCAGTGCCGGGGTTTGGCAAGAGAGGCAGAGATGATAAAAAGTACATCCCCGACCAGGGAAACCTGCCAAGAAGGCTGCATTGCGCGCCTCGGCGGATCGTTACCGGGGAATACCGCGAATACCTCCGTTCAGCCTCCTCGTGTAACCGTGGGGATCGTGGATCGTCGCGTAAACCGGAATTTCACGTACCCCAGTCCGCACACGTCCAACCGGTTGATTTATCATCGCTACGCGACATCCGCCCGTCGGGGGACGTAGTAAACTACTACTGGACCGCGGAGAGAAAGCGAGACGAGAGTTCTCGATACCCACTTATCGTTATTATATCCGTATTAGCTGGCGCGATCGAATACGGGAAGCAAATGATGAAATCAAAGGCATTTAATTTAATTAGTCTTCCTCCCATTGTACAGAGGCACGAAATTCACGTTCTTATCACGGAGATTGCTAAATCACTGGTATTACGAGCGATTATTACACCGAAAAAATTGTATTCTTGTTTTGAGGATATCTCACTTGCTTTAAGTATATTGTATACCAAAATAGGCGCCAAGAAGAGTTTTTTATTTTAAGAAGAAAATCCTCTAAATAGTAATATTGATACACCGAAAAAATTATATTCTTATAAGTAGAAGATTTTATACTTAAAAAATCTACTTAAAGATTTTAGATGATATTCTTCTTAAATAAAGAATATATTCTTAATTTAAGAATATAGTCTTTTTTGATAGTGAGATATATATGTTTTTCTATAGAGGCTTTTTATATTCCAATCAGCATATATTCTTATCAATATTACTATTTAGAGGATTTTCCTCTTAAAATAAGAAAGTCTTCTTGGCGCCTATTTTAGTATAAAATATACTTAAAGTAAGTGGGATATCCTCAAGACAAGAATATCATTTTTTCGGTGTAAGAATATATACTGATTAGAATATAAAAAGCCTCTATATAGAAAAACATATATATCTCACTATCGAAAAAGACTATATTCTTAAATTAAGAATATATTCTTAAATAAAGAATATATTTTTAGTTTCAGAAGAATATCATCTAAAATCTTTAAGAAGATTTTTTAAGTATAAAATCTTCTACTTACGAGAATATAATTTTTTCGGTGTATTGTACTTCTCGCTGCCTCTTTAATGCCGCTCGCCTCGGGTTCGCTTATACACGCGATTTAAATTTGCATATGCGCGTTTCAATGATAATGACCAGGGGTCAAGTCCATCAGCGTTAATGATGCAAACGAGTTGGGGTTAGATCAACCGGTTGACGCGATACTAAATGATAGAAAAAGAACCTTGGATTTTTTTTTCTTTTCTCGTTTTTCGCAGCGAAACGAAATGATCGAGCTCAACCTTGCGACAATAAACGCGCGAACTCGCAAACTATGCTCGCGAGAGCAGATCGAGCGGTCGCGTCATTCAAAAATCAAGCGATCGTTACTTGGCGATCGAAACTCGGCGGTTACGAGAGACGACGAAGGTGACGCGAACAAGGTTCGCGTTTCCTTGATAAGACTCTCACGCCAACACGACGTTAAGATCCGTCGATCATACCTAACCGTCAAGCACGTGGACTTTATCCTGGAAAGTGTATTTGTTTCACGACGCGAAGAACAGACAAGAGTTAAGACAAGAAAGAAAGTTCCGATGAGATTATCAGTATCAGATATCACGTTCTTCTTTACCTTCGATATTGTTTCAGCGAGCTATACGCGAGAGTTTCCATCCAGAGGTTCTGTACCCGATCAAACGGACGTCGGTGAGGTAGCGCGATATACTTGGCGGAATATCACTCAGCTCGAGCTCTTGTTAGCTCTTTTTCTCACAAAGTTTCGTTTAAATTAAATGTCCACGCCTAAGACGGAATTTAATTGGAGCGTTTGATATGTATACTATATTTTTTTTTTTGCAGCACACAAGAGAGACTCACCCTCAGTCGGGTTAAAAAATTATGCGCTCTGTTAATTCACATTCCTTTTCCTCTTCAGTTTTCTTCACTTTTTGACGCGACGGTTTCTCTTTAATATTAATTTCGAAACGGTTCGCCTACATATCCCCCGTGGCGCAACATTCACAAAAAAAACTGGGCGAATTTTCTCCCTCGATGCGGCGTAATTGGGGTTGCAGAAAATAACAAGCTGGCGGAGTTGTTTGCCGTTGTACTTCCCCAACCCCCGCCGGCGGACTAAAGTTTTACGTCGCTGGTCTGTGTTTCATCTTGCGAGTCACGTAAGTGCACATCCACGCGATTTCAGAGACTCCGTTGTTCACTACCGTTGTTGCGGCGGATAAATCGTCGGCGCCTTCGGAGCTCGTTTGGAGAAACGAGCTAGAAAAAAACTTTTCGATCCCCGCGATTACGGCCAGCTGCTGTCTAAATTCTAGCCATTATTTTGCAATATTTTTTGACAAAATGTTCGTCTCTTTTTTCACAGATCATGTTTCATTTTCTTACCGATTCAAAATTATTTAAAAATTTTTTAATATCAAAGAGAACAAAAACTTATTTTGCGAAAAGATAAATTTTTGTAACTTTGCCGCAAGCTTTTTACTTTCTTTTTTGTTTTTTTGTTTTTTTTTTGCACACAAGTTAATCTTCAAGGTACAAATTATATTCCTCGGTGTAATTTCCGAAAGTGCATGCTTATCAGTTTTAAATCAAAACGTGTGTTTCGCGGCACGAAGTTAAATAACGAACTCATAAGAGAGCCCGGTCGCTGACCTCTGGAAGGGTTCAGCGTTAAGGGTTGATAATACCCCCCCATTAAGAACCACACGAACCACCATAATACGCGAACGCTAGAGACGATGCAATCTTCCGCTTCCGTCGAATTGCGTGAGTGTTATTCAATTTTGAAAAAAGGTTTCCTTTGAATGAGCTCTTTTGTCGTCATTGTGACTCTAATATTTCATAAAAAAAAAAGATCTTTTTCGTCAATGTGTTTAAATATACAGGATGTCCGGAAAATCGCTCGCAATAGCTTCGGGATTGGGGATCCGAAAAGAAGGAAAAATGTGTTAGATATAAACATAGATCCGGAAATAAGTCGTTTCCGAGTTATAGCCACTTTTATGTTTCAAAATCGTAATTTTTTTCATTATCATAATTTATTTTATTGCGTTTTAACGTAAATAAACTTCGTTTCGGACTATTTCGATGGAAGAAAATAAGATGGTTGTTTTGAACATAAACAGGTATTTAAATAGAATTGAGATATGACCACTTTATTTTCTTAAAATAAAATAGTGGAAATGAAGTTATTTATGTTAAAACAAAAAATTACGATTTTTGAACATAAAAGTGGCCATAACTCGGAAACGACTTATTTCCGGACCTATGTTTATATAACATATTTTTCTTTCTTTTCGGATCACCAATCCCGAAGTATTGCGAGCGATTTTCCGGACACCCTCTGTAACTTAGATATATAAAATATGTGTTAAAATATATAACCAAGATAATATATAAAAATATATAAAAGTCTTGAGTCAGCATTCGTCCACACATAAAAATTGATATTTCAGCGATTCAAAAGTGACAACCAAACCGTCGGAGCAACAATGATATTTTAAACATTTGACAAAGAAAGAAATATCGAGTACGTTGATTTAATCTAAACCGTCGTTCTCTGCTAAAGAGCAAAAAAAAATAAAACTCTGAAAACAATTTGACCAATAAATAGCTCAACGTGACCATTAACCTTTATTCCGTGTTGTGTTGAACAATATTTTTACGCTCTTAAATTACGAAGAGACGGTTTTACATAACCTGTTATTCACACGCCCGCGCCGCGCCGCGCCGCGCGCGCGCGCGTCTCGCGTGAATTCTATAAATAAATAATCTAATCAAGTTATACGGCAAAATATATTTTTCAAAAATGCAAGAGACGGCGACGGGTTTGAATTAATTTTCACGTTAATTTGATATTCTCGAAAATTCGAAGTCTAATTTATCTCGACGAGATCGGGAAAGGTTTCTCTCGGAATATTTTGACGGGTTGCAAATAGCGTCCCATCAAACGTGAATGCGCGCCGCGAGCGCGGCTTCGCATTTATCTACGTTCTCTCTGGCCCGCGCTGCTGGGAAAGGAGATTCAATTTGGTTACTCGGGTTTCATTATAGGACGGGCACGAAATTAGAACAGAACGAAATGAATTAAGCGGGAAAGGACAAACGGCAACACTCCGTAGTAATCCTCCGAACTTCCGAACAACGAATTCGCGGGTGTGTGTTTGAGTCTGTAGAGTCTCGGGAATGTATGTAGTTTCGAAGCGCGCCGCGTTCGTATAATGACACATGCTTAATAATGACTTCCGGCAATAGAAAGAACAACTTTTGTTGGCACAGCAAGCACGTTTGGTTTGTGTGATTCCTCACGAAGAATCGTTAACGAGCCATTAATGACGTCCTCGAGAACGTCACTCTCGGACTAATACCATGCTAATTGCGCAACGACGTCACAAATGAGATTTTTTTTTTACCGAAGAGATTTTTCACGGTTTTTAAATTGTGAATCGGTATACACGCGATTATATATATTTTATACATCAATGACAAATAATTTCTTCCATATTTTATCTAAATTAATCTACCGTCAATATCGCGCTTTGCTTTGTGCTAAAAAAAATAATTACGTAACTAAAAATAAAAACGTTCTGTATGATAAAATTTCTCAAAAATGAATGTCACGTAGCATTTGATGAAAATAAAACGTTTCGGGGAAACGGGGGAAAAAGTACGAGGAAGAGCTTGATAAAAATAGAATATAGGGAAAGCATCTCTCCTTGCGCTCGAGCTTTTTTTTTTTTTCTAGGAAAGCCGTGTACGTAAGTACAACACGTACGTACGTGCGTAAGCATCATAGGGTGCAACACGCGAATGGCGTGGGACTAACATGTTCGTAACCCCAACAACGGGAACAAAGAAAGGATCGATATCCACGACGCCGGGATGGTTGGTGTCGGCGGGTGGTGGTGGTACGTTTCGTGTTTCGTTTCTCATTTCCGCGGAGGACAATGCACCCCCGACGATGCAAGGATCGAATAGTCGATATGTAGCTAGCAGCGATTTTGTAGCTGCGCGCGGAAACTGCCGACGTAGGTAAGGTTCGTCTCATCGATTTGCGCGGTCTATGAACGGCGATAACCACGAGCGACAGTTTCACCTTTGTTGGCTGAACAAAGAAAATTCCGTGCAAATTTCAACGAATTACGGAGATTATATCGAGAAAGGACCTTTCGTTCGAATCGAACCTCGTTCGAACCTGTTCCGAATGGGTTTTTACCAAAAACAAAAAAAAATATATATATTCAAAACCTGGGAAATCGACTCTCACAATCGTAAAGAGAAGAAAAGCAAGCCGTGGAAATTAATGTCGAAATTAACGAGCGTTCGAGAGTTCTGAAAGCGGAAGGAAATTAATTGGTTTTGAGAACAAGTTGCCGTCACACAGAGAAGCGGGAGAGTTGCACAATGATAGGAATTCTAGTACGATGAAAGGAAGTGTCTGGAAACCCGGGGAAGTGAGGAAGGGGGGGGGTGAAGATACGGGCGACCTGTGGTATATAACCGTGAGAGAATATAGCCGGTAACGATACTCGAGGGAGCTCCTTCTCGAGAGAACCTCAACGGAGGAGAAGGAACCGAGCGCGCGGGTCGAACGTGCTGAAGCGTAGACTGCGCGAGAAAGAGAGAAAGAGAGAGAGAGAGAGAGCCCGCCTTAGGCCTTTCCGTAACGTGGGTCTTTCAAGACTAGGGTCATCTATAACCCTGGCCCATTGGATTCTTATCGACCTGCCTGTCTGTGCTGAATTTTTCAGCAACTTACATGCCGGGTTGATTGACCGCCAGACAGATCCCGTGGAGTCTATGTCGTTCGTGATTCCGAGACGTATCATGAATTTCGATGCATTCCGACGTTTCTCTTCCTCTGAAAAAGAGAACGTCGATCTCTCGTCGTTCGTCTCTAAAAAGAAAGACCTCGCGCTTTTCTTCGTCTCTCTCCGCAGACAGACCCCATCCTCCCCTTTCCTTCTTGGCCTTATTCGCTTATTTATTTGTCCCGCAAAAAAATGTATTCCGAAATCGCGAATGCGGGTACTACTACACCGGTGGTTTAATGGGTTACGCGATCGTGAAAGGTCACGGTGCTATCTTCGAAGATGAGTCAGAGAATGTTTTCTGTCTTACATAAATCATCCTGAATCGATCCTTAAATTGCATTCCGACCGTTCTGAATATGTTATATTGTTCTGTCTACTAGTTTTTTTGTTTAAACGGTGTTTTTGTTGTTTTATCATCGCGGACGAAAGATAGTTGCGCCTGCTACTGTTTCACGTACTTTTTGTCATGCGGAAGAAACTTTTCTCGAAAATCTCCGACGGGGATGGGGGGGAGGGGGTAGGAGTTTGTGATCGCGAACGAACGTAAGTTACTTTCGGCGTTCAACTTTCGATAGAATTTAATGATGCGGAGTAATTAAGGAAGACCGTTTTTCTTCGTTCACGGCCTCGAGAAGTCTTCCGTGAGACATTCGATGAAACTTGCTTCAGGGAGAAAAGTTGCGCCGCTACTACTGGTGTTAAAAACGGCCTGAGCGAAATTCCTCAGAAAACGTGTAATTTGGATCCGCCTCGAAGTTCGGCCGACGAAAGTTTTGCGCGTAAGTTGTGCGAACGAGAGAGTTTCTCGGTGCCGAACTTTCTCAAGAGAGGACGAGACTTGTATTTGTCGGTATAAAAGAAATATCCAAACGAGAGAGAGAGAGAGACAAATTTTACGCAAATTTAATTATAAACAATCAATAGACGCAATAGTAGTACGAGAAGACGTAAATAGATGATAGAAGATTACCGCTCGAATGTGTTTTTTTGCATCAAATTGGCGCAGAATAAAAGCAGAATAAAAACGCGAAGATGGAAAACCTCGGTTCTCGAGTCTTATTAAATATTTCCATTCTCCAACACACGCGCGCGCGAGCGTCGTTGCTTCTTCGTCGTTTGCATTTCCGCAATCTGTTACTCGTTTAATTTTTTAATACAAATACGCGCTCCTCTTTGTTCGAAAGCACGGCGCTTCCGAGATTCGTCTATCGATTATCCAAAATGAGGAATAATAAAGAGTACCTCGGCCTTGAAATTTACATATTCCCCGGGGGGTGTGCAGGAAGTAACACGAAAATTACCGGTTGTTTAGTCGATCATTAGCATTCCTCGAACCTTTTTTTTTTTCATCGCGCATAAAATTTACGTTATTCCTGCGGCAAGTGTGGATATGAAATTAGCAACAAAGCTCTGTTTATCAGTTTCATTTCATCGACGCTGAGATATTTGCGTAATGGCTCTTTATTATGTTTGCAAAAAAAAGAAAATACATAAACATAACGCAATAAGTACACGACAATTCAATTCAGTTCTTACAATTTAGAATTTTTTTCTTCTTAATGTGTCATTTCTTTTCACGCAAAAGTAGTTTTCCAACTGGTGCGAAGTCACGTCCCACTGTAGTCCAAGTTTCAGTCTCATACGTACAGACGGCGTCATTAATTCGAAGAATAGGCGCGGGGATCACATAAAAAGTCCAGTTGATCCAAATATCCATTAGTCCCAAAATCGGGTGTCCAGTTGTGGACACCCGATTGCTACTAGTTAGTTAGTACGGCGCCCGTTGGCGCTACGAGCAACCGCCCCGCTTGCCCTCCGATCCCCGCGCCTATTCTTCGAATTAATGACGCCGTCTGTACATATATATATTCTCGAAGTTACGAATGCATATAAGTATAGTTGTAGACTATTACTCGTTTGATAATTAATGACAAAGTTGGAAAACGCTATAAACAACGCGCTGTTATCTGACACGAGAGATCGCGCCGGTGTGCCTGGCATTAGAACCCACGTCGGCACACGAGTTGTTTTTCCCTTCTTCCACTCGTTCCCGATTCGATTCGTGTTTTTCGATATGCCACGTTTTTCGCTATATATATATCAGACGTTTCCATCACATGTGAAGCTTGTTTATTTGTTATCTCAGAGAGAGAGAGAAGAAAAATACTTCCCCATTGTCACTTCGGGATAAGCTCTCGAGAAAGCGGCGAACCCTGTTCGAATCGGCGGGACTCTGTTGTTTGCGAGAGAATACCAAAATATACGACGGAAAACACAAACGTTTTTCATCGTCACGAAAACGCGAGCGCGCGTCCAAATCTGTGTTACGAAAACTTATTATTAACGTTCTCTTTCAACTTTGCTTCCTCTGTTGTCGCAAGACAAAAAATTATCTCGACGAGAAGCGACTGCGGAAAATTTCGCTTCTTAATCTGGTTCATCCAAATCCAAGACTGTTGTCGCACAACGACAAACTCTCATTTGCCCAATTTGTAAATCGTGGAATTCTTGGCGTACGGTGATTGCGCGTTTGTGCTCAAGTAAAATTTTCCCCGATACGTGGAACTGGCCACGAAGCCCATGTAAGCTTCGGGTTTCCACAAGCAACTCGCCCCCGGGATCTCGGGACTCCATTTTGGACAACGACTAGCGGGAAACCCGTAAGGATTCCCCACCGATTCCACGTAGTAACGCCAGGCCCGATTGTGTCCGCAGGTAACTAGATAGAACAAAAATATGAATTCGCGTTATTTTTAAAAACAAAAAAAATAAAAGACAACAACAAAACGAACTTGAAGAAAGATATAGAAAATCGACGCGCGCACACATCGCGACGTAGTTACCACTCACTGAGTTGATTTACGACCTTTCTGAAGTTCTCTTTCACCGTGCGAACGATGCTCTTCAAATCGCAACCGGGCTGTCGTCTCTTGCCGCCATTTGGATAAAAATCGACGTGACCGAGCGGGTTGGGGAAGCCGAAATGGCCGCCGTCGGTGTGAATGACGTCGACAAAAGCGGCGTCGGCCCATGTCAAGTGACCTTCGTCGCCTGTGTTCATATACAAGGGATAAGCCGGGTCCAATCCAGTGATTCTGCCTATCTGAAAGGGCGTTTCTCTCAGCGTACAGAGCTCTCTCGCTTCCTATACCCTAATATACATATACACAACGTGGGTATCAGGTTGCGTCGATATCGCTCCTCGATTGAGAAACTCCCGACGCTAATGCGGTTCCGATAATGCGGCCTTCGATTAAACCGAGCGAAATGTGCAATGCGGTGTGACCGCGGCGTGTGATCATTATTAGCCATTATGTACCTTTACGCGACGCTCTTACCTTTCGCGGTCTGAGCGCCTTTCCCATGAAACCGGCTGCCTCCGCGCCCAAACTAAAACCGATCACGTGAATTTTCGACAAAGGAACGGCTTTCTGCTTGTCGAGCCAGCTCACCATGCGAGCTATGTAAGGTCCGATGAGTCGGGTGTTTCTTACGGCCGTCACGTACCAGGGTAAAACCGCAAGTCTGGCCCAGTCCACCAATATCACGTTAAAATGTCCACGACGAAGATAAGCTAGAACACACATACGCGAACAACAAACAGGTAAAAAATTAATTATGAAACTACACTTTTACATCGTGATAATAAATAATTTTGGCAACGCACGTTACAACAAAACGCGCGGATAAAGTCTGGATCGTTTGTTCAACGAGAACGAGAAGGAGTTTCGCGTTGAATAAAATCGGAATAAAAAAAATTGCGAGAAACTTGTCAATCAAAAAAAAAAAATAAAAAAAAAATAGAGCTCTTCGAACAAAGGTATATAAGTTCCTGCGGAAAGTTGAATTGGAATCAACTCGCTTGGTGAAAAGTGGAAAAGTTGGCGATTTATTGCGACAATGTTATATTGGTGGCACCATTCGTCATTCCGACAGAGCCTCTTGAGGTTTGGCATAGCTATTCGTAGATCATGTGGCGTGTAGTTACTATTACTAATAGATCTCCGGCCTGCGCTCGATCGCAAAACCAAACTTTACGAGCGGAAAGAAAAACGAAGCGTCGCGGTGACTTTTAAGAAGCTATTTGGTTATTCAGAGCGAGAATAACCTGTGTGATATCACGCGCCTATAAAAAGAAAAAAAGTGCTTTATAATAACATTTATTATCTTCCAACGAAATAAACTGAAATTTATATTTCAGCGGAAACACTTTCTCAAATAAACTGCGCAAAGTTTTACTTTTTTTGGTGTTTTGAATAACGATGTAAATTTTTTTTTTTATGCATGGCAAAGCGTGTAACAGACTTTGACTGCGATTGGCACTTTTCTCTTCTCGCGCTTTCTCGTCCTTCGCAACGCTCTTCTTCGCAATTAATTCGTCGCGTAATAACGAGAACGCGTTTTTCAAAAATCGCGGATTTATAAAAAAAAAAAATAAATAACATACCGTTTCGTATTGCGACAGGACCTTTTCCCATCGTGCTGTCGCTGTATCCGTGAATGTAAACGACAGTCGGGTGTTTAACGTTGAAGTTACTCCTCCACAACGTGGTGACGTCATTTGGATCCAATATAGTCGGATACGTCGGATTTCGCCTGCCGTGGGGGTTAATGCGCAAGAAAAATTGTCGCTATGAGCAAAATTCGTGAAATTTAATACGGTCGATGATGGAATTACGAATTGTTGGAATTTATTTAGATATCGGAAAATGAATTACGCGACACGTCACATATTGGGTGATTTATATAATCGCGGAGATTGTTGAGCGGAATAATTTGGAACTCTCTCTCACTAACGAGCCAAAAAACGAAAATTTTCCGTTTTAATTACGTCACAGTCTCTTTTCAACTTTAACGAGATATTGGAATAAGAAAAATTTCACAATTGCGTTTGAAACAGCGTTTGAAATTGCATTGTTAAACGCGCGGTTTGTCAAATCCGACTCATCCTCAACGTGTGTACCTGGTGTACAATTGAAATTCGACGTCCCGATTCAACTGGATGGGACAGCAATAGAAACAATTGCCGGTCGGCAGCAGAGTCAGGTGCAGCGTGGTATCTCCTGACAACAAAAAAGTAAAATATTTGTACATTTAGTTTTTAATTAATTAAAAATTTTTTTTCTCGCAAAACTCTAATCGAAAAAAAAAAACAACCGCAACTTGAATTAAATCCAAGTTTCGCGCGCTTCGTACAGACGGCGTCATTAATTCGAAGAATAGGCGCGGGGATCGGAGGGCAAGCGGGGCGGTTGCTCGTAGCGCCAACGGGCGCCGTACTAACTAACTAGTAGCAATCGGGTGTCCACAACTGGACACCCGATTTTGGGACTAATGGATATTTGGATCAACTGGACTTTTTATGTGATCCCCGCGCCTATTCTTCGAATTAATGACGCCGTCTGTACATCTTGATTCTTTAATAAGGAGAGATAAGCTTGAAAGTTAATTGGCTCGATTCTTTTTTTTTTCATCGAGCGAATTTAAAGATCAGAGGAGCTCGTTCAGATATCGCGCGATTAGTAATATCAAGTAACTTCGGGGAGAGCCATTTTGGCTCTCCCCTCTGCGAAACGTTTCGATGTCTTGCGTTTCGTTGTATATGCGGTGCATAATGTCAGCGACGGCGACGGCGACGGCCTCGACCAATCGCCGCGGTCGTCGTCATTGAACCTGACGATGGTCACGTTATATTGCGTGTTGCGGCGGAGATTGACGGTGCGCGATACACCACCACCACCACCACCTCTTGTCGAAAGAATCTTTTATTTCCCCTTGTCGTGCAAAATATTCCGCGCGGGGAACGCGCCGTCCAATTTCGTTTAACACACGAAAGCGCATTTACCTAAAGCGGAAACATTTTCTTCGAGTCCGTTTAACACTTCCGAGAGCTGCTGCTTGTATACAATACAAATTTATTTGGGAATTTACTTTTTGATTTGACGGTTCGCCGAAGATGTTTCCTCAATTATTATTATTCTCCGTAGATCGATTGATTAACATTTTTTGGTTGATCCGGAAACGCGGTTGCTGCGCTTCCGCCGAGACGAAGCAAAAAACGGTCCCGACGGATTAATCGCCGAGCGCGACGAACGTCTTTAAATTACTGCGACAATGTCAAGTAATTTCGAAACAAACGTGCCGGACAATTTCATCGGGTCAATCTGATTGTTTCGGTTTTTGCGTGTGTGTCGACGCGAAAAACGCAAGTAATAATCCGACGTTTTTATCTCTCTCGCGCGAAGGCACGTAATGCCGTGTTCTGTCGCTATCACAAGCTCGCACGTAGAAAACGCACGGGTACCCCCCAAGCGGTGGTTAAGTGGCTGTCGAGACCGCTCGCTCGGTTTGCGCCTTTACAACCCCCTTTAAATCTGACCCTCGGCAAGCGACGAGGCGTTGAAAATAAACCATTATATCGTATATATATATATACGACCATTGAGCGCCAGGTTTAATTATTTCGTTTGTGTGTTTGAAAGTTTATTTCTTAACACGCCACGAAAAATAATACATAAAACGTCTGATAACGTTTTGTTAACGCCATAAATGAAGTCTGTGTTAAATGAAAGATTTATTTTCACGTAACGCGTGCAAAAAAACAATAAAAGATGCGAGGAAGTAGTCGTAAAAGAAGAAGAAGGGTTTTTTTTGTTTTATGGCTGACAAAAAAGTTCGTAAAATACAGTTTACAAGTTTACGAGAGACGCGAAGAGAGAGAGAGAGAGAGAGAGAGAGAGACTCTCATTACGATTGCGCAACGGAATAATTATACACATTTTTAAATGGCTCGTTGAAAAATAGGTCGCGGTTTTACACTTTCGTCGTGGTTATTCACAACGCTTTTTCGCGCCTGGCATTTTCACTTGGAAACAATCGTGTGACTAGCAGTTGTGTCTCAGTTCAGGATTACCGATATCAACTCGTCTGTCTGAATTGTCTGAATCTGTTGATAGAAAACTCGCGATCGTCTAACCGTTTATCTCGGATTTATAGCAACAACCTCAGATCTTACCGGCACAGGTGAGAGGAGCATCGGTCGAGCGAGAATAAAAGAGATTGTGGAAGAACACATGAAGACGTTGCGAAATGTCGGTCAATGCGCGCACAACCGTTACGGCGAGGCCTGTTCCCTTTTTTTTTACTTTTTTTTTTTTTTTATTCTTTCTTATTTCAATAATCGGCATTACTATGCAACAACGCGATGATTCGCGTCGCTTTGATGACGCTGCTTGATCGCAAAGGTGCTTTCTTGCGACGAGACACGTAAGACTCCCCTATTATTCGAACCGCACAAACGCGCGCGCGAATTTGCCACATCATCGGAGAAAACAAAATTAAACCTAAAATATTTGATTTTCTCTCATCAATTATGAGCGCGAAGGATTTTATCTGAAATATCTCTGGCTGTCGGTTTTATATCGGTTTTATATCTAAATCATTGCGGTTAAATTCTTCCTCGTGAACAATGACTGAAAAAAAAAAAAAAACTGCGACACGTTTAGGATTTCAGGACGAAAGTCGGCGGCGGCGCGAGTTCCCAATCCTCGTCCCGGTTGCTTCGGACAATTTGCGATCTTGTTTAAAGAAGACCTGTTCGGAATTCCGTTGTGAAAGGAGCACCCTGTATCTCTCCGTCGAAGATTTATCGTACCGTTAAACGTTTTTATATACTTTTTACGCAAGATGCATTCCACGTCCTAATTACCTCAATTTGTATCACATACGCGCACGAAAACTATGTTAAGGAGTTATCAATCAGAGAAGCGTGTATATATATATGTTTCACCGTTATTAAATAAATACATCGTTGCGATCGTCATTGCTTAATGAGTCACGTCAGGCAATCGTGTTTGCAAAACGAGCCTATCCGATTGCTTTCATCTTCTGAGACTCTTATCCACATGCGATCAATTGTTCGCTTTCGTACGCGACTGTGCTCTCGGTCAGCAGTTTTTTTTTTTTGTTCCAGGCGCACTTGGTACAAACAAAAAAAAATCGTTTCGTGTTTTTAACGAAATCGTTCGCAATCGCTATATAATTGCCTAACCAACGGCGTCTGATTATTTCTCTTAAGAGTTAGCGCAGCTCTTGTTACACTCTTATCTCAAACTCGTTGCGCCGCGACCGTTAGTATATAAATCACGCCGTCTAACGTGACGCCACCTTGTTATTAATAAAGCGGAATTACACTCATCGCGCGATCACGTGCGCGCCGCCGTGCACTTGCATATGGGAAATATTCGCGCGTAGTAACGTAGCGCGAGTTCCAGTTTCGAAGTCGGCTGGCGACTAACAGCGCTTTTTTTTTTTTCACGATGTTAAATATAGAACTAGACCGGTATACGTTGTTAAAGTATATACTAAGTCGGTATATATACCGGTCAAGTATAAAGTTTTTTTTGAACATCATCTCGCGCACAACATTTCTTCTTCCCGCGGGGGAATTCGTATCACGTTTTTCAAGCAGAAAATTCGCGCGCGCGTTGTAATCAACCGAGCAATTAAAATATATTAAAAAACAAAAAGTATAATAGCCATTTGAAGCAAAAACATTGGTGATAATGTGTGTATGATAGAAACGTTACTTTATTCAAGCAGGTAACATAATATAGAACGTTTTCGACCTTAGATTAGGCCTTTTTTCGTTGTACACTGCTGTCGGTTCTCAGTTACTTTGATAATTGTATTTTGTAATCATGTGACTTGTTAAAGTTTTCAATTCAAGAACTTCATATTCATACATATATTGATAAAGGCCTAATCTAAGGTCGAAAACGTTCTATATTGTGTTACCTGCTTGAATAAAGTAACGTTTCTATCATACACACATTATCACCAGTGTTTTTGCTTCAAATGGGGCCATTATACTTTTTGTTTTTTAAAAATTTTTGAAGCTTACTACACTTTTCTTCTAAAATATACTGAGCACTGAATATTAAATGATGCGCGTAAAAAATCGTTAAACGCGCGCGGGAATCGCAGGACTTGCACACCGCGTCGCAATGCGCGCACACAGTTTTTTTCGTTAAAATGTACGCGGATATAATCTTCGAATGAAAACACATAATTGCCTCACTCGAGAAAACAAGAGAAATACTCGAAACGGCGTTTTTGCAAAAAAAAAAAAATGGTTACCTCTTCGAAAAATGTACAAATGACAGAGCATAGGCACTAGGAAAGATGGGAGCGCCATTTGTCGAGCGCTCTCAACAAGAGGTTTCGAACGACGCGCTCTGCGAAACCTTTTACGGTGTATCGCTTTACTCTGAATTCGAGAGGGAACTGGCGAGAATTGGAGCCAGCTGATCGTTTTGTAGAGCTCTCCCTCGCACCTTTCCTCATCTCTTACGGAGAGCGTCACGCGATCTACTTTTCCTTCCCTTTCCGCACTTTCCGACTAGATCGCGGCAGATGATGATTATTACGTTGGATCAAGAATCCGGACATTGCGAAATAATTTAATTTTGTTCCGGTGTTAAACAAGCGTGTGTGAGAATGCGTTTTATTTATATCTTTTTACACCACACGTGTCGTTTGATACGAGAGCGACGCGACAAAATGTGATTTTTTTTTCTCGCGTGAGAATAAAACACAACACACAATTATTTCAATTTAGAGAAGCAAGCGAGCTTGACAATTGTTGGGAATTTTTTTGTTTGTTTTTTTTTTTTTGGTGAAAGGAAGAAAGAGCGGAGCTTTTTCGCTCGCGCGACATCTTATCTTGAAGTGTCAAATAAGAGATGTTCTTTCTATGTTTTTAGGACAAGTTGTTGACGAAATTAGAGGAGAACGAACCGGAGCTGGCGTCGTCGCAGGAAGACGAGGTAAGAAGATCGTCGCGCGGAGACCGGAACGTTCAATGTTTTTCGCTGAAGATCGGTGTTTAACAAGCTGTTCTGAGAGAGCAACTTAATCGACCGTTTCGAAACGACGACGAAACAAAATCAAGATGCGAAATTTCCCTTTCTAAGGCGCTCGCTCGAACTGTCACGGACTCTAAAAAAGAAACCAAAACCGCGTTTCCGCGGTTGGATTGACATCGTTCGATACCGCCGGGCCGTTTTTTTTTTTTTTTTTCATTCTACACGCTTTCGTCTTAAGAATTCTTTGAGAGAGAACGATTTAATGTTTGTTCGGTTTTATTGCTCCGCTCCGTGGCGAACAATCAGACCTTAATACGTAATTTCGTCGGCAAACAAAATCCGACGATTGGCGAACGAACGAAATTTCTTTCGGAATATATACACGCGCTCGGACGAGAAAAAGAGAGCTTTTTCGAAATTTCGACGGAAACGAGATCAAACACATGTGTCTGCCGATTACGTATCTCGAGGCCGGGGGACGGTACGTCTTGCGTACAAATCTACGTATATATATATATATATATATATAAGCGCGAATGAGTCAATAAAGGAAGCTTAATGGAAATTGCGTTCGGGGATAATGTCCACTAACGTAGATTGAATTGTGCGATGAAACGCACTCTTTTCGCCTCGGAAAAGGAGTACCCTCGTTGTGTAATTATTTTCCCGGCGCAAATGTTTATAAATAGCTCGAAAGGCAAAACCCATACAAGAAACGTAAAACATGAACACGACGCGCCGCGAAAACATCTTCTGCGTTATTAAATCCGGAACGGAATATAATAGTAGGCTATGTATACGTGAGAGAGAGAGCGCGTAATAGAATATTAAATGCTTCTGCATACAAGATCCAAAGACCTGTGCAATATCTCTCATTTTTTTTTCCGTCTCGTTGCGCCACGTTAGATAGGCGCCGTTCGAGCAGACGCTCGAAAGAAAGTGACGTGATAACGAAGGCGCCTTGTATCGCGCAAAATATGACCGGCCGTCCGGAAGAGTCGCAATTTCCGAACGAATTGGCCGCCCAATCGGTCGCAAAAGTCGATTAACGTCGACGACAAAGTGGCGGTCGCACAACCCCTCGACTCCTGACGTGTTCGCCCACCCTGCGCAGCCGTGCTATTAATATTTCGATTAAAGCGACGCCTAATTACGTTACGTCGATTATGGCAGCTGATCGTGACCGCCTCGATCGGACGTTATTCAAACGAAGATCGGCCGCGTCAGATCGCGCATACCCGGGATTTATAATGACGTTACAGTTGCAAGAACACGTAAGAATTATGCAAATAAAAATAAGAGTCACGTTCCCCTGGCGTCGAATAAAAACGGTCTCCTCTGTTTTTTGCTTCCCCGTCGACTTTTTTTTTTTTTTTGTCCTCGACCGGCGCCCCGCTATATATCCAGTGTTATATTCGTGCGCGATTACTCTAATCAAGCGCTCCGCTCAATACCACGAAAGAGGACGTATCACATCCGACACGCTCCGTTATTTTTTTCGGTTTTTTCTTTTTTCAGTGTGTCATATGCGTGAACGCAAGGGCGACGATGCAAACGGCGCCGTGTGGGCATCGGGTGGTTTGCAGGTGAGCGAAACAGCTTAAATGATTTATATATATGTGGTTTTTCTCTCTCTCTCTCTCTCTCTCTCTCTTCTCTCTGTATTTTTCCTCATTTTATTTTGCGCGAAGAAGAAGCTCGGAATAAGCTGCTAATTATTTTTCACGCCGGTGTTGCAGCGTTGCTACATATTTTATGTATTTAAAAAAAAAAAAAAAAAAAAAACCGTTCGCGTTTAATTAAGACGTCTCGACGTTCGTTAACTTTGTTCCCGTCTCCCGCCGTTTTGCAGACGCTGCTTCGTCAAGACGATACAAATGGCGGTGTCTCAGAGGCTTCTACCGCTCAGATGCGTTATATGTAGAGCGAAGATTCTCCGGCTGAAGCAGACCCTCATTCCGCGTGACGTAAGTGACGAGATTACGCGTTTCACATCTCAAATGTGTATAAATATTTCTCATTTTGTGAACGTAATAACCTTTTTTTTTTATACACACACACACACATATATATCTTTCGTTCGTATCTCCGTTTCTGCGTATTTTGTCTCTACTTTAAAAAAACTTTTTCATTTCACTCTCTATTCTCTTCTCTCTCACCGTGTTCCCTTCCTGTTCCGCTTTGCACAAACGCGTCAATAAAAACTCATGCGCACTGACGTGATCGCGACAGCGACGAAATTGCTGCTAATTGGAACGAATTCTCATAGTCGCCGACGCTTTTGCAGCAGCCGATTCCCAGTTGCCGCGTGACTCGAACGCACTCTGTCACGCTCGAAGACAAATTTTCATCAATCAAAATTGTTTGAAAAATTGTTTTACGGAGGATCCTTTTCAAATGTCACTCGCAACGCGTCTTCTTTGACGTTGTTTGATTAACGATTAAAAATATTTTACATGTTTTTACGAATTGCTTGTTTCTCTCGCATAAATTTTGTTTTGTGCGAACAAAATGTATGTAATTTACTCCCATGTATCTCTCTAGCAATAGTTATTATCTATTTTTTTTTTTTTAATTTTTGTTGTGATGTGTTTTGCACGGAGAGATATGCAAATCGATAATACGGTGTGAGATTATTTAATATAAATTACTCTAATCGCTTGTTAAGTTGCATAAAATTATTTACGTGCAAAATACCTAATTTATTTATATATTTTTCTAATATATTTTTTTCTATTAACATTCGAAGATGTTTTTCGCGTTTGAACCGCGTTAGTGTCATTTTTACACCTAAATAATATAATATATATATACATATTTCTGATATAAATAATAAATAATATAATATAATATAAATATACATATATATATATATGTATATTTATATCTAAATAATATAAAGCTAACACTAACGCGGTTCAAACCTGAAAAACATCTTCGAATGTGAATACAACACCGCGAAGACATCAAATATCATAATAAAAAGATAGGAAGGTAGCAATAACGAACTGTACGCCTGATGTTCAGATAAAATTCTTCTTTATTCCGACGATTTAACAATGATACATGTATCATAAATTGTTAAATCTTTGGAACAAAGGATAAAGAATAAAGATAAAGGGGAATTTTTGTTGATTCCCCTCAGGGTTACAATATTTCTTTAAATTCCTTTTCCACTATCTTCCCACCGTCCAATTTTAAAGCTGATTCGAGGCCCGATTCGGTTCGCTTTTTCAATCGATAAACTCGACTTGAAAGAGACCGGGCCGGAAAAATCCGACAGTCGATTCGAACTCGGGACGAGCCCGCTCGCAGCCATCAGGCCGTGAGACCACATGGGGCCGGTTAAATCTTCGGAACAAAGAAGAATTTTACTCGAACATCAGCCACGTTTCTTGGCACCTCCTTATCTTTTTACTAAAACATAACACGAGCACGTAACATACAATCAAAAATGTCATATTTTCTCTATTTCTCTTGCTCATATAAATTCTCTTATGATTATTGTTATCAAGATTTTGTGTTTCGACTCTGACGTTTACATGACGCACCGATCACTATAATCTGTGCTAGATGTATATTTCGCGCGAAGATTCACGGAATCTCGATAATGAAGTGTGAGATTGTTTTTTTTTTGACTTGCAGTATTCGATGTCGGGTAAATCCTGGGTACTTCCCCAAAGTGCCTCGGAGTACAACATGGGCACGGGCGTAACCGCCGGCGTGTCCGGGCCTGGTGGCAGATGGGGAACCGGAAGCGTGCCGGCCTCCGCGTCTTTATACTCGATGGCCAGCGGTTCGTCCTCCATTTCTGGTTCGTAGTGTTAAAAAAAATCTCTCAAAGCTTGCAGATTATAATTCATTCTCTTTTTTCCCGTCCCGGTTAATATAAAGCCTATATGTGTATGTACATTTTATCGCAAAAATTTTATATACGCATTTACTTTTTCGCTCGCGCAGGAGTGTCTTCCGTTTCTTCGGCAACTTCCTCATCCGCGAGCAGCACCGGAAGTTCCGCTCTCGGCAAACATACGAGAGTACGGCAACCCACAGGCGCCACTCTCAGACGTTCCCAGACGCAATCGATGAAGATGCGGATTCAGGTTAGCGGATTATCATAATATTCCTTCCCACATGTGGAGCACATTTCGCATTTTTGTCGATCTAGATAGATTCCGTTTCATACGGATAAAATTTTATATGCGTGACGATACAACGCGCAAATACACTATCTTTTAATAGCGCACGTAACATAATCTCTGGTAGTTGTCTAAGTCGATAAAATACACGCGCAAAATTGTTTGTCAAAATCGACAGGAGTACCAAGATCCGATTCAGCAAGTCACCGAAGAAGAGGAGGTCATGCGGGAGAACCGGGAGCGTCGATTGCCGCCGATCAAAGAGTTCCAGAGGGATTATCGCGTTGGCAAGGCCTCCACCAGAATCAGGTATTCTTTTTAATCTGTTCCGGCAAAGCGACCGAGAAAAATTCAAAAAAGTGTTACGCTCGTGTAATATCGATGTTGACGTCGTTGTTCGCAGATGTGCTCAAAAGATCGTCACTCAATTGGAAACGTCGCCGAGCCCGAGAGGCACGTCCGGTGTACCATCGTCGTCGTCGACGTCGTCGAAACGGCCGTCGACGTCGAAACGGCCGTCGTCGACGTCCGCGCCGAAGATGTCGGTGGTGCAGGAGGTGCAAAAATCAAAGAAAGATAAAGAACGGGAGAAGGAGCGGGAAAAGGCGGAGAAGGCGCGGCAGAAGGAGGAGGAGAAGGCGGAAAAGACCAGGCAAAAGGAGGCGAAGAAACTGGCGAAGGAAGAGAAGAAACGAGCGAAGAAGGAAGCGAAGGCGAGGCGAAAGGAAGCCGAGGAATCCCTTTTGAGGGACGAAAAGTAGGCTTGTGGTCTCGATCGTGTGAAAAATCTCAAGACGGAGCGTGTCGCTGTTGGTACAGGTGTTCTGAAGTATCCCTCGGCGATTGAATGACGGCGATTTCCAGAATTCTGTACCGGTCTCGCGATGGCGGATCGATAACGCGCATACGGGATGAGTTACGGACAAGTTCGCATAACTTGTAAGAATAACGAGAGAGACTCCGTAAAGAAACGTAACGGAGCACCGATGCCTCTTGAAAATTCTAGCACCCAGCTATCGACTAATGAACATGGCCTAGCTCGAAAGCGGTTCTTCTGAGAAGCCGAGCACTTGGCAAGCGATTGCCGGAGATCTCGCTGGTTTTTAATAAACTCCAATGTGCGACTCGTTTGTTACTTGATGAAATGAATTCTCACAACAATTAATATATCGAGAAACAATAAACTCGAAACAATCCGTAACCTGTCCCGAATCGCTCGTTACCTTGAAACGTGGGGTTAAGGAGAAGAAGGGCGGCGGAGGAGAAGTATACTTAAAAACAAAACAAAACAAAAAAAAATCTAGAAGCGGCCAAATTTAGTAACCCGTCATATCGAGTTATCGCGGACTAATAACTATTATCGATAGGAAAAACTCGAGGGTAGAGCTATATACTTTAGAATTCCGAGCGAAAAAAAATTTATTTCAACCCTTTACATTTACTAGTCATCGCAAAACATTTTATTTTAGTCGTAATGAACGTAATTTTATCTCTCCCGTGTGAAACCTCCCCCCCCCTCTCATTTGAAACGTCTCATCATAGACAAAACCAAAAAACACACAAGATGTTTCCAACATGTTTCCATTCGGTTTACTATACGGTAATTTTTAGAATTAATAAGACGAAGCAAAAAAACCGTGATCTCTATCGATTGTACGAATATATATATCATCGTCTAAAAATATATTCCCCCAATTATTTATAGTTGATTCATTCCGCGCGAAAAACAAAAAAAAATCATCTTCATCTTGCGACATTTAATCACCGACCGCCAATTCGAGATAATCGATAATCCCGTTCCTCCAGTCAATTTAAAACTCAGTCATCGTGTCCTCGCCCACGTCCTACGTCACCAGAAAAAAAGACACACACTGTGTGTCGATTTTTTCTCTCATCGCCGACATCCCTAACTTTAACATTTCGCGTTTTGTCATTACGTAAGTAGAGAAATCGCGCGGGGCGAAATGCTTGCGGTGTGTGTGTGTGTACATTTTTTTTTTTTTTTATTTTATTTGTAGCGGCGGTCTTTTGGGTAAAAAAAAAAAAAAACTTTTAATTAGTCACACGTCACAAGGTAGTGTTTTAACACGCAAAAAGTATATATATATATATAAATTGTTTCTCTCTTCTATTTTTCAAATTTTAAAAAAGATTCAAATCAAATACGTCAAATTTACAAATTACGTCGCTCTTTTTTCGAAAAGCCCGGGGCAAAAGAGGGACAAAAAAAAACGCAAGCATTTTTCTTCGTTTTCTTCGCACTTCGCGTTAAAAAAAAATAATATTTCCCACACCACACATTCATCGTATATATTGTAAATACACCTGCAGGATTTCACAAAGCGGAACATGAAGAACTTTCGTGGTCTCGCGCGCGAGCAAAGTCGTACGAACAAAGTCGCGTACGACAGCCTAATACGATCGATTTGTTAAAATGCGAGAGAGGATATATACCTAATGAAAAAAAAAAAAAAAAAAAAAAAAAANAAAAAAAAAAAACGAGATAGAGTCTTACAATAGTACAATATACACACATTTATAAAAAAAAAATATATATATATATATATTATATATTATAAAAAATAGAGAGACAAAGAATCAGAAATTTTTGAAACGCAGCGCGTGTCTCGTTACTGTTCGTGAATTCGTAGGCTCGTAGAAAAAAAACTCTCTTGTTATATATCTCGATTATCTTTTTTTGTTTCGAAACCTTTTTCCCTTAGCTCGGCAATTCGACGAGCGACTATTAAACGAATCAAGCAACAATTAACTCATGAAATCTCTATATTCTACACGCGCGCACGCGTTTCAGTAGATCCCCTCCCTGTAAAAGAGTTTTAAAGACGCAAATTATAATATGAGAGTTAAACGCGCCGATAGCTTTAAACGACGAAAACCCCTGTGTCGTCGACACATACAAACACGTACACACGTATAAACATAAACACACACACACATACACACATACCTAACGTACATAAAACACACGCGATAAAATAATTTTTTGACCTCTTAGATTATTACGTCCTTGATCTCAATTAATCCTATCGCTTTGCGAGTCTCTCCCGTAAGCAGCCGAAAATCAAAAAAACAATTTTTTTATCGAATCTGCACAAGTTAAGATTTATTAACCGCAAATCTCGATATCAAAAAGTATATTCATTGAGTAGGCAAAGTAGTTTTTTGACGCGGAGATATATATATCTATAAAAGAGTAGACGACTAAAGCGCGCCGGCAGTAAATTTCAGCGTTTATTTTCATTAATGCGTTCGGTTAGCAATGACGGTTTGAAAAAAAATAAATGACAATACTACGTTCTTTTGTAACCGAAAGAAAGCGCGAGCGAGCGTAAAAATCTTTCGGAAGTTACGAGCTGAATCGCGTAATGAAAGCGCGGGACGAATGAGAAAGTCTCAGAATGATTTGTGTTCTTTCGTTACAGTTCGCTCTGATCTGGGATCGAGCTCGATGCAGTTTTTAAATATAAACGAACGAAAAAAACGATGAAAATCAAACTGTTAGATTATGATATTTTAATAAGCTGCGATGTGTGTAAAATTGTAAAGTAGCATCGTAAAAGTCACAATTCATACCCTCTGCACAATTTTTTCTCGGTCTCTCAAGGTGTAAAAGCAAAGCGCATATTACGTGGCAATGTAAAACAGATAACGATTGTTTCTTCTGTTTTTTTTTTTTTTTTTAGAGTTTTTGTAATCCTTTGTTGCGCCGTATTGTACATAAGACGGATGTTGAAAAATTTAATTATCTTCGTTTCTCGAGAACTCACGCGGGTACGATTCGACGGTAATTTATGTGGGAATCATGCATATGTAGGTGCGATGAAAGTAGGAATCAGCGTTGCCGAAAAACAGGTATTCTTCGGAGGAAAAAACTTGAATTTTAAGTATACGCTAAAAACGCGGTCGTGCACATATCAGTAGTAATTAGTGAATTTTAAATTAGCGTCCTCGTTTAGACCGCATTGCGTCGCTCCAAGACGGACTATCTCGCCTCTCCGTGTAGATCGGTGTGCGACGCGTCACAATAATCACGCTAATTAAACGATACAATCACGAGCGCCAATGTAGTCAATTCGACGACGCTACTAATTAGCGTGTAACGTTAAATGTCAATTATTCCACTCGTTGCATCGATCCCAACTGTGACGAGCCCGACTCGCGCGACACAATTTATAATCAAAATAATCCGCGTGTTCCGATGCGGATCCTCGACTAAGTTCATTGACGTCTCGAAAGGGGAAACCCGTTTGAAGTGAAAAACTTGCTTGTAGAAAAAAAAAAAAAAAAGATAACGTTAATATAAAATTTAATTTAAAATCTTTTTATATTGGCAAATTAACAAGAGCGATTGGTAAATTAAAACTATCTAATAAAAAACAGATTTTTTAAACAACTTTTAGCTGAATATTTTTGCACAACAGATATGTACAGATTATTTTGATCTAAAATACAGTCGGGGATCGTCATCGTAGGATAAATCTTTGGACATAGGATTTAAGAATTGTTTTTCTTAATCTCGTACGAGTGCGAGACTTTCTCGAATCCCGGCGGGAAGCGAAGAGGAACTATGTAAAAAAGGCAAAGCGTGACTAGCGTCCGGAACGGGAGAACGCGGCGGGAAATGGAAAAACGCGCTCGTCTCTTCTCTGCTACCATCAAAGTCAATTTTATCGAGCACACACTGTGTACACGTGAATGTTAAATTCGCGGCGATGATGGCCGACGATGGCGAATATTTGTGACGACTCCCGCTAGACGGCGGCGGTCGGTCGACCTTCGTCGACGCAGCAGAAATCGATACCGAGATTCGATTTCTCAAAAGTCAATGAGAAATACTCGTGTTCGCGACAAGATCGTGTAGAAATAACAAAAAACGCGGGAACGAAAGAAACACGAGAATCCAATCACGAGAACGTGTATCTTGGGATGAGCACGAGATGAAAATCTTCGACGATGTGTTATATATATATCGATTTGTTAATTTTTGCACAAATTTCATTATTACCGAATTTGATCGAACGTTTATATTGAGATTAAGGCCGTGTTCGGTTATTGCTGGCAGTACTGAAAAATATCTAAAAAAAATCTATAGATTTTTTTTCAGTACTGCCAGTAAAAAACGAACGCAGCCTAATTCGATCGGAATTAAGCGAATAATGTATAATATGTTTTGCGTGTAAATACGATGGAAAGCGAAACAGATATTAATTCAGAAATATATAGATGGTCATAAGAACCGTTCGCTGGATGTTGTTGCGGAAATATGCGCGTATATGTGCATATATACAGGGTGTCCGACAATTAGTGTAAAATCTCTCGTAGGCAGAAGGAGTAAAACCGAGTCAAAAAGTCCTGAACCATTTTTTTTATTTATTACATGTAAATTCAAAAGTTCACGTTATGTGTTTTAAAAAAATAAATGTGAAATAAATAAATGCAAAAGCATCAAGAAAAGGTAAAGAGCTATAAAATGAAAAAACAAAATTAAAATTAGGCAAATCAATCGTTCGCCAATCAATCGATTTAGTCGATTGAAAAAGACCGGTCCGGAAAAAAATCCTATCACAAAGTGATAAGCGGATTCGAACTCGGGATCTCCGTATTCGTAGCTCCTGCACTCACAGGCCGTGAGAGACCCAGTGGGACCGGTCTCGCTTGATACACGCATAATTCCAACATTCAGCGAACGGCTCTTATATGACCGTCTATATATTTCTAGTTTAGAAACTTCAGAGCTCAAAAATTCTATATTGATGTTGATTCATTTTTCATGTATTCGATCTGATAAAAGACGAAATCACGTGTCTATAATTATTACAAAAATATCAAAATTCGTGAAACTATATGCATTATAGACCTGCGCTGGTATTTTACAATTCGTCATATTTTGACAAGTACACATTGAGAAATTAACAATGAACAAAAGGAAAAAACGAAGGAAAGAAAAAATAGAACACAACATAATCGTTGGCAATAATCTTCGATCCGTGAAGAAGAAATGAAGAAGAAACCGTGTGTAAACGATAAGAAAGACGAATCGTGTGCGATAGTACGAAGACGCGTTATATCATTAAACATAACGAGGACGACTTATCATTGTACTTCATTATGTAAAACAGAATTTGTAGGCAGTATATATATTTTTTTTTTTTGTAAGCCGAACAACGGAACAATCTTCGTCCCGGAAAAAGGATCGGCGAGACTCGACTCGGTTGTAATGACCGAGAAACAATCTCGCGTTCTGTTTATTGTAGAAAATATATATCGCGGATTCTCTTTTTCTAATTAGAAATCAGAATTAAGCGAAGCTAAATATACGTTGGCTTCCGTTTGATTTAGCAATACGGTTTCTCGTTTCCTGTTTTTTTATTTTTTTTTTTTTGAGTCACGTTACGAAAATTTTCTTTCGATATTCACAAAACTCGACATCTGCACTCGGATCTGAAGAAATGTGTTGCGAAATCAAGGAGCGCGACTTGCGTAAAAATCAAAATCGTCCGTCGTGGCGAGCGCGCGTGCCGAGGATACAACGCACGCGAAATAACGTTAAGAGTTAATAATAATTAATACGGCGATCTCACGCTCCTCGATCGACGCTTGCTCGTTATGTTCGAGAGCTAACTGACGCTAACGTCATAGCGACGGAATGTTTATATCGTAGCGGATAAGATGCGCTAACAGCTAGAAAGAACGTATCGTTTTTCGTTTTTATCTCTTGTGCGGAGCTTCTTAGAATTTTTCAACGGGCCGCGAAGGCCTCTCTTTCCTCTTCTCAAATACATATATATATATATATATGTATATATATATATGTATATATAAATATATATATATATATATATAAAATTATATACGATGTTCGACTGCATCTCTCTTGGATCTCATCGACTCGCGCTTGACAAATAAGACGAGAGATATTTAAAAAAAAAACAAAACGGCTTGAGCGGTTGATTTTATCAAGTCTATTTTTAGTAGTTTTGTTCAAAGACAAAAACACACAAAGAAAAAGAGAGAAAGAGAGAGAGACAGAGAGAGAGAGAGAGAGAAAAAAAACGAAACTTATAAGAGATAATATTACGCGATGTGTTGACATGTAAGAACAGATAATGAACATAAACAACAAATCAAATAAAACGTTACGATGAATGTTAGCTGAATTAGAATTTTTCTTCTCATTTTCTTTCCTTTCGCCTCTTCTTCAGCGGAACAAGCGATTATAAATGTGATACAACGAGTAGTCCGTATATATTTCTATCTACGAATTACCGTATGTCGGTTTAATATCGCGCGATGTTTTTTATTACTCAATAACGTTTATATCGTCACTCTGATAATAGAAAAATTTCGAATCTCTCTCGTGTTGAAATGCGATCTTCCCGTTACCGTTTGAGATAATTTTCTTGTCACGGTTCGCAATGTAACTCGACAGAGGACGCGTTACAAGTCTAAAATATTATTTTGTCACAAATGCATTCTCTTTCTCTTTCTAAGTACTAATATAGTTGCAAGCAAGTTTTTGTTCAAGTTATATGTTAAAAATATATTAACAAATAATGTGTCGTGTTACTCACGTTGTTGTATTTTTTGTTGTCAACATCTTGAGCGTGACTACGATAGAAGGTATTTCAATATAAATTGTACTATATATATAAATCAATTTCTGATATATATGTGTTGTTGTAATCATCAATTATTGCAGTAAGTTTTGTAATTTATGAAACTAAGATACGCAATCGCATTCAAAGACGCAAGATGTAAAGCGCAACTTGTGCTAATTTCCTAATTACGTAACGTGCGCACAATCAATAACATATATATGTTAAAAAAAAAAAAAAAAAAAAACCGTTTTACTTTACCGACAGTTTCAATAAGCCGATTGTTTATCTTTTCTGTTGTATAAAAATTCTTATCTGACAAGATAAAAATTTATTTTTAAAACTCGCTATCGTGTCTCTCTTTGTACAAATGATAGACTGTCGTGTTCTCAAAGAGAACGATTGAACATTTATCATTTGGTTTTCAACACAACAGACAGCCAACATTGGCACAAGTTGGCCAACAAAGAACTAGAAGAATCTCTTTCGTACCATTGGAATTTGAAAAAAGCAAAAAATGTCATTCTTTTTGTTGGCGATGGCATGAGTACGAACACCATAACGGCCAGCAGGATTTATCATGGCGGCGAGACGAGTAAACTTGCCTGGGAACACTTTCCCCATATCGGGATACTGAAGGTTGTCTCGATGAGATTTTTCATCAGACGTGACTTGTATTTAAAAATTATTTTATTGTATTTATGTATAAGATCTTCCGAGCACGCGCGAATGTATCTTTTGTTGATAATGCAGACATACAACACGAACAAACAAGTCCCGGACTCGGCTTCCACTGCCACAGCTCTGTTCGGAGGAGTAAAGACGAACTACGAGGTGGTCGGAGTTGACGCAAATGTGGAATTGGGGGATTGCGAGGCAAGCTTGAACGCAAAGTATCACGTAAATTCGTTTCTAGCATGGGCTCAGGCGGCTGGTAAAGCTACAGGTCAGGTTTAAGTAAAAATTAAAAAAAAAATTGTTTTAAATGTTTTTTTATTAAACAAAACTAATGTGTAGACTTATTTTCAAAGTTCGGAGATCATATTTTTAATAATTTTTTTTACACGCTACATATATATTTACAATTATGTTTAGTTTTGCAAGAGTTTTATATTAAATAACTATTAACTAAGAGAGACACAATTTACGTTAAAAGTTCGACTTCGAAACATTTTAGATAAAGATAAAAACAGTTTCTGCGTCAATATATATCTTCGACATTTACAAACATTAAACTTTTGTTTTTTTTTTTTTTTAATCTTCTTATCTTCTTCACTTCCTATATTTCTACTAAATTGATAATTCATTAATACAAGATAACATTATATTGATCATACTAATAAAGTATATTAATTAGTTATACATACATTTTATATATAATTAATATAATTTATTAATATAATTTATAATCAATCTTATTTATATTAATCTATATAATTTACGTGAAAATAGGATTCGTAACTACTACTCGAGTGACGCATGCAACTCCGGCACCGCTTTACGCACATTGCGCGAATCGGAGATGGGAGTGCGAGGCGAAAATGCCTGAAAACGCTGTCATTGCTGGCTGCAAAGATATCGCCAGACAATTGGTGGAAGATAAACCCGGGAGTAATATTCGAGTAAATATAAAAAAAAAAAAAAAGAAAATAAAAGTATGATGATTCACGCACTTTGTTCCGTGCGATAAATATCGAGACAATGAGCGTTTTAATTTATCATCTCAGGTAATCATGGGTGGCGGCAGACAGATGATGAAATCCAACGTAACTGCGAAGAAATTCGATCCGATCGACACGTGGGCTTGCTACAGACAAGACGGTCGTGATCTAATCGATGTCTGGGCGAGAGATAAGGCCAGCAGACACCTGGCTTACAGCGTGGTGCAAAACAACGAACAATTGTCTCGGGTCGATACCGACAATGTGGATTATTTGCTCGGTATTTTCGCCAACGGTCATATAGAAATGGACTGGAAACGTGAGAAAAGTCCGAAAGGACAGCCCAGTCTGGAAGAAATGACTGTGACGGCTTTGCGAATTTTGCAAAAGTCCAAAGAGGGATATTTCCTAATGGTAAAGATATTTGTTTTTTAGTTCTCATCAATGATACGTCGACGTATGACGAGAGAAATTAAATGCACAGGTCGAGGGGGGTCTCATCGACTTCGCTCATCATCGCGGCCACGCTGCACAAGCTCTTCTGGAAACCGTTCGATTCTCGGACGCTGTTAACGCCACTCTCAGAATGATCGATACCGGTGAAACTCTTGTGATAGTCACCAGCGATCACTCGCATTCGATGAGTTTCAACGGTTACGGCGCTCGAGGCTCGTCCGTTTTAGGTGAGACACCACCGCGTAAATTTTCTTTTTCACTCCCTTTGTTCGCACGCATAAATTTATATTTCAGGAATCGCTCAGAAATCCAAACACGACGACATACCCTACACGACTCTGTCGTACAGCATCGGCGGACCAAACAACGTAGCTTACACCGTGAACGGTAACGGTCGAGCTGTGAGAATCGATCCGAGCAAGTCGAACACCAGCGATTTCACTTACAGTCAGCAAGCTGCGATCATATCGGACGAGGCTTATCACGGTGGCGGAGACGTAGCTGTATACGCTATAGGTATACGTAAAAACCATGTTGTTTTCAATTTAATGTTTAACAAAGCGATCGCAGAGTTAAGATTTACATTTTGAAAGTTTCGCGCACAAGAGTCATTGCTCTTACGAGATAATCGTTTTAAGAAAATTCGCCGTTGATGCGAGTTTAATTTTGTTTTTTTTTTTCGCAGGACCTTATGCGCATCTCTTCCACAGTGTGCACGAGCAAAATTACGTGGCGCACGTAATAGCGTACGCCGCGAACGTCGGCGAGTACGCGAAGAGTAGCGCGGCCGAATTACAGCGCGTTCTAAGCGTCATTCTTTTAATTGTTTCTTTTATCTTGTTGGTTTCGCTCGCGTACAAATAAATCCGTGATTACTCACTCGCAAAGATATTATCGCTTTTTTATTTTTTTGGTAGGAAACAACATGTACCTATTGCCCCAAATTAAAGGCGTGTATTTTAAGAAAAATCTCATCTACATATAATAATAACTCTTATCGTGTAATTAAGTCGTATCGCAAACGCTCGTGAGTGTTACTTCGTCACCCACACACCGCATCACAGATCGGACTTGACCTTGAATGGGGGGGACGTACTTATCTCATACAGCACAAAAGACCGGTAAAACAATTCTTTGAATATTTTTTGAAAATATATTCTGAAATATATTTTTTAGAATATATTTCAATAGATAATCAAAGGATATTCTCATGGCGCGTAAGGTGCTGTATGTAGATTTTGTGCGTCCTTTTTTATCAAAATAAAAAAAGTGATTCTGCCAGCAAAGAAACGCAACTTTCGGCCAAGCCTCAATTCTGTGATTTGACGCTTCATTGTCGCTTATTTTATTTACAAACATTAAAATGTTAGAAACAATTCTCAGTCTTATGCTGCAAAGGACAAAGATATCTTGTAACGCTTATTTCGCAAAGCCGAGAGAGGAGCGCGATCCTCCGAGATTACGCTTTTGAGAACATTTGTATATAAGACGTTACGCGTTTCCGCTCAGACGTTCTTGTTGTACTTAAAGCCTAATATCAAATATAATCTTCCCTGATATCCCCGCTTAACAATTTTAATGACGTTATAAAATCAAAATACGAAACGAATATTACGTATATAAAATTGACGATAGCAAAAAGACGTAATAAAAAGGAACTTAAAAATCTATTTTATATGTATAAAAAATTGGAAGAAACTGCGAGCTACGTTGAGATTTTATCAAAACGCGAACGTTTGTATATTGCACACTTGTGAGAGGGGAGGGAGGGGGGAAATGGTGCGTAATACCATGCAAACGTCTGGCAGATGAGAAATCGTGATGAATTCTCTCAGTTTCTCGATTGTGTCTGTTAGGTAAAACGGTGGGATTTAACGCACTTTCTTTTTCTCGCATTGTTCTTTCTCGCGTTTCGCGGTCTCGTGTAACACTATCTTGAGAGCGATACCGCCGAGGAACAGCAGCGCGGTGACCAGGAAGATGAAGCCCGGTGTGTGCTTGCAGTAGATGGTCATTTTGCACAGAGCCGTCACTTGGAAGACCAATAGCAATGGCACGAGGTACGTGGCGACGACCAGGTAGAGAGGATGATGTTGCTTGCGTTTCGGCTTCTCGAACTTGCTGCTGAATTTCGTACAGGGTTTCTCAAGATCGTTACTCGTTTCGACGATCGTCTCTTGCACGTTGATCGGCTCCTTGACGCAAATCCTACGTAGCGTCAACCGATGCAGATTCTGATACGTGAAAAAACTGATGATGAAGATCTGTTGAAGAAAACCGTTGAGGCAGAGGTGCACCTTGCGCGCTATCGGATGCGACTTGCTGTAGTCGAAGGAATAAAGGAGATACGGCAGAAGATTAAGATTCTGGCAACAGTGACGAATTTTCTGCATCGACGCGTGTCGAAACAGCATCGGTGGGCCGCTGTAGTTCCCGTCTGTAGAGAGAGAGAAAGAGGAAACTGATAAATCTCTTCAGCGTCAACGAAACGTAATGTTACATGTTACACTATCGCGCGTTCGCGTGCCGAAAACAAACTTCGTTTCATGATATATACTCGCATACATATGTTCCAATTTGCGCGATTGAGCGCACGCTGAGATATCAAACCAAATATATTACCGTTTTAAAGGACAAAAAAAAAAAAAAAACATTTTTCTCAGTTTGATAACAAATCTGTCGCCAATATAACTAATCGCTCTCACTTAAGCGCGAAAAGATCGCAATGAAGAAGATAATAAAAGTTTTGGAAAATGTGTATTTATTTACCTTTAAACATATCGGACACTCGTCTCACAAGAGTAGGTCTTCTGCTCAGTATATCCTTTTTCTCCATTATCTCCGACATTTTTGTTCTTGATCTTTGCCGTTTGGCGTCTGCGGTTTCTGCGGTAAGAGAACAATCGTGGAAAAATAATCTTTCTTTGAAGATTATATCGATGATAAAATCACACCTGAAACAAAAATACATATGGTTGGTGAACAATTTTGTTTGCAGACATTTTAGTTATGGAAGTACTTTGACGAATATGATTGAGATACTCTCAAGATCGGATTGAAACGTGAATAGTAGCGGATAGAAATTAACTGTGATGATGCGCAAAGACCAGATCGGGATTATTATAATTGATTTTGACGATCGGAACGAGAACTTTTTAGCCGGAGGATCACCAACGAACGTTTCGAGTTACACTGAGGGAATCTTCGTTCATGCACTTGACATGTAAAATCTGCATGCATTTAAAAAAAAAAAAGACGTCACCGTTTGATAACCGATTGACCCGAGATTAATCCTGTTGGTCGGAAAAAAAGTTACGTGTGACTGTGCAAATCGTTTCTCAGAACTGTTTTTGAGAGTTGATTTCGAATTGTAATCTTCGCACGGAATTACGCGCGCGTCGCGCGTATCATATAATAAATTATCTAATACGCTTATTTTATTTACGTGCATACACGCACCGATTGTATGTAAATTTGAAAAACGACCAATCGAAAATTCAAATCGTTTGCACTAAATTACAAAACGCTTTACGTCGACTTATTAAACTTAAATGTATATCAGATTAAAACTTATAATGTTATATTTATCCTTTCAATATCTGCCGCTAGCGCCAAAGTGTGGAAAAAAATTCCAAAAGAAAGAGTTTTCCGCAGAGTTGTTTCTCGATCGACGAGAGCTGTGTCGCAACTGCGTGCATTTCGCGCTGGGTCGCGGTGCAAGTTAACGAGCGATAACAAGAGCATATAAGAACCCTTTCGCTATTCGTCAGCAAAGTGAATTAGCAGCACCGTAAACCCAAATAATTCAACCCCCGGGATTTTCACTTTTGTCCCGCAATGTTTTTCTTTCAAGTCGTCGAACATTCCACGACGACTATTAGACAAAACGCTTCTACATATGTATAAAAAAGATATGTATGACAAAAGGAAACAGATAAAATGTTGTAGTTTGTTAGAGAAAAACCAAATGGAACACAATTCTGGACTAGATAAGCTGAGACGAGAAACGTGAAGCGTGGATTAAAGACAAAGTTTGAAGCGGACAACACGCGAACAACAATCGTCGTTGTATAAATTTATAAATTGTCAATCGCGATGAAAAGTATTCCGATCGTCTTTCGATGTGAAATCTTACGTGATAAAAAAAACAAAAATTTTTAATAAATGCAACATATGTAAAAATATTCAGGCACATCTGCATACAAACCTGCGCACGTAAAAAAAATCGCATTACGTGGCGCGTATGTGCTCGATGTGTCACATCGCTAAATTAAGAAACGCGACACGAATATACGCCGCAAGGTGCGTTTTTAACGTTTTACGTTCCTGAGGCGGAACGCGATGTCGGATCGACATCGCGTTCGGATTAATTCTCCGATTAGAGATTGACGATATCAACTATATTAAACGACCGGAAATTTCATCGAGATCGTCAAGGTCTCGACGTGACGTTGCGACGTAACCGTCGCTTGTAATTCAGACGAGAGAGAGGGTACTCACCTCAGCAGTTATGTCAGCGATGGCGTGTGCGTGTAGCGAGACACTGTCCGCCCGGTCGCAGATAAATAAATGGATTAATAAAATATTTAAACTGTTTCTTGCGAAACGATATGAATTCGGCCACATGAACTAACTGTACTTTTTGTAGAGATTGAAAACTATGGGAAATTCGCGAAATATGCCCATTATTCGCGCGCTGAGTTTCCGACGAACGCTTCTCTTCCGATCAATAATACAACACGCTGATGAAAAAGACGCTGCTGCTTCTTCGAGTAGAGTGCGCCACGGGAATGCTTGCCGAGTCTCACATTAAACTGAACTGGTTTCGGTTGTGTCGGATGACAATATAAGCTGTGTTCCACCACTACTTTTACTTCGAACTCTGCGAGCTCTGCAAGCGATATGGAACACGACCCACTCCGAACAGTCGACTTCTGTCGGAGCTGGAAGCGGATTCGTCGGCTTCGAGAATCAATGTATCGTCGGCGTGAACACCAAGGACGGTAAAGGGCCGTTTGGGCGAGGAGAACGTGATTACGAGCCTTTCGGCACGCACGTATCGAACGTCCTTGATATTTTATCGTAGATAACTTCCTCTGTCGCATATATTAGTATATACATGTGTTGTTAATATTTTATTTTTATGGCATCATTTTTTTATGACAGATTTGTTGAACGGCTAATTCGATTTTGTTTAACGCGAAATGCACATACATATCGAAAATTGTTTAATGTATAAGAATTAGAAATATATTTGTCAACTTAAGTTTTGGTTTTCTACACGTGTGATATTTGCAACAATACTACGTAATTTTATTTAATTTTAGCACACATTTAAATTTTCTTCATATTAAAATTATATTGTAGAAAAATATAATAAATAAATTATATGATATATAAAAAATTATAAAATATAATACATAGAGCTGTAAATATAAATGTAATATATATAAATGCGTTGTGTTAAAGATCTTGTTTTTTAATATAAATAAAACGCAAAATTATAATTAGCGTATTCAATAAAAATTGGCAAAAAAAGTTTGTTAATAAATTCTGATCGGTAAAATTACACTAATAAAACATTATCATACTAATGATATTCTACTAATGATGTTATATTGATATTATATAAAGAAAACCACAAGTCGATTTTTACGATGTCACCTTTTGTATAATATTTAAAACTTTGCCGTATAATATTTAAAAACTGTGTTGCATGACTTTTTTATCTCAACTTGAATGTACGTCATCACTTTACTGAAAGTGATGGTCGAATATTTCTTTTTCAATATTCTTCTCACTATATATATATGTAATATATAAAAACAACATATATGTCATACATATATGTGCATATTTCAAGGTATGTCATGCACTAATGTAAGAAAAAGCTATAATTAATTTGAAAATAATGAAAGCGAGTGCGCGCCTCACGTAACTATTAAAGCGTTTGCAACAGAAGAAAAATTGGTCACAAAATACATACGCTATATTCATATATTTACACATAAATAGATCATGTAAAACCGTAGACAAAGTGTCATTCGCGGTTACAACACACGGCAATATATATTACTTTATTTTCGAAGTAATAAAACAACTACCTGTGACCGCCCAGACGGCGGTCTTAAACGCAGAAAACCTACCGTAAAATGAAACTGAAGACTCGACCGCGTTCCGGTTCGAAAAAGATGCGGAAGGTTTCCTTCACACACGATCGACGCGTAGATTCCGCGCTCGCACGCGTGAAACGCGTGATCAAGAGAAGACGAGAGATGTAGAGAAGAGATGGTAATACAAACTTCACGATATCGTGCAACACAGTTGTCAAGATATCGCCATCGGTAAACATAATTTTAGCGAATAAATTTGCAAAAACAGTGGCAGACGCGCTTAAGAAGACAAAATACGTTCCGAATCAAATTTATTGACCCCGCTGTTTTTTTTTTTTTTTTTTCAATCAAGGCCGCACAACACGCGTCGTGCGTGACTCGCTGCATGTTCGTGTGTTTCTGAATGATGAGTGATTCCATGACGGAGGGAGTGATTCAGGTCGTCTTTATGGTCGTGCTTCACAATGTAGACACAACAATGTTGCGCTACTGATATCTCGTAGACAGATACCGCAATTTTATTTGATGATTTAATCTAAAGTTAGAAGCTTTCCATTAAAACGATATATATATATATATATGTATATATATATACATATATTATATATATACACATATGTACCTATATATACGTATGTTACGCCGCGCGAAACAATCAATACTGATGGAAAGTTTCTATCAAATATATCGATAAAAATAAATCTTATGTTTAAAAACTTACTTAAAATCAAAGTATCCTAATATGTTATAAGTATGTTAATTATATTATGTCAAAAAAATATATTAATAAATATATTAAAAATATATTAATCTTGGATCGTACCTCTCTATCGTAATTAAACACTATGATGACTGATTCTCATAAATAAATGACACAGCGACATAATAAAAATGCTGAATTACAAAAGATTTTCTGCAAAATTTTTTCTACATATTTAAATTTCCGCGTAAACTGAGTGAATGTTTTTCCTATTTGCAGGTGCTCTATGTTTGTATGTGTAGATATACGCACTTTTCTTGTTTTTTCGATCACTTTTTGTGAAGCTGCTCGCAGCATGTAAATTCAACACAAATATCACAAACGCGTCGTTTTGCCTCTCGTTGGTTTCTTCCACTTGCGTCCGCAATCACACTGATCACACATATAATTCACATGTGTGAAATTCAAATTTATCACCAATCGTTATCCACTCGTGTTCGACACGTGAAGCAAACGCATTTACATTTAGAAACGACGCAGGAATGACGTAATCTCAATTTCAATAATATTTGTCGTTGCATAAAAGGAAGTAGAAAAGTAACAATTTATCTCTCTCGGTAACTTATAAATAATCATATATATATATATATTGCGTGAGAATCATATTAATAATTTTTTTCTTCTATATAATGAAAATTTTTTTTTTTTCAGATTTCATTATTTAAAAGTAAATTGTTTGTCAAAACAAGTTCTGTTAACCAACAAAACAGGAATCACAGATCTGAAAAATTTTGGTAGACTATGCTGACTTTTGTCATATATATATATATATATATATATATATCGAGATATATAAGATAAAAACATTTGTATCGATCATTTGGCAAACTTAAGAATTTTTTTTTATTTCAATGTCATCATTTATTTTATATGTTATATATATATATATGTTTATTATATATATATATGTTCCTATATATTAAAACTAGATAAGATCGAACTATAGAATCACCCTGACGGACTATATGTGCGTTTGCATATAGTTCTAGTTTATCAATTATCTTTCGTCACGAAATAATCACGTGCTTGGGAAAATTTTCATCTTCACAGTCGTTTCTTCTTACGCAGATATACTTATCCCAGAGACAAGTATGCGTTGCAGACAAGTATTAGTACGTTTGTACTATACAAACAGTGATTGACATATTCAAGTTCTATATGGAACGAAAACTTATATTTTTTATGTCATAACTTTTTCGTATTACAAATGGCACAACAACATCGTTTGCAGAAGATAATGTTTCTGTTGTGCGACAGCATCATACGATTAGAGTGCATATGCAACATTGTTTTTTATCAATCTCAGAAGAGAGCCACAAGATTCCGTGACTAGAAATGTGACGACCGCAAACTTTTTGTGAGGTCAACCACAAAATTTTCTGTGGCGGATCTGTGTGATCGTTTGAACGTAAGATACTGCGGAACGTTATAACTATACAGTTCTTTTGTTGAATTCTCTCACTAAAGTTTTTAATCTTGAGTGTTATTCATGTATCTTATAAAGTTACTGACACCTCTCTATGTGCACTCACAGTGAGTGATTAACCTGTTAATTATCTTATTATCGAAAAGAATTCTGTCATATCCTCACGTACGCAATTCCAATGCAAATATCATTATACGATATCGTGTCTCTCAATTGTTTTTAATTAAACATGTACGCTCTTTTGTAATTAAGTTGCTAAACGTTTATTGAGACGAAAGTTTATTAACGACAAAACGTGTTTTATTTAAAACGTTATTTTTTTAACGTTTTATATGTAATTTTTTTTATCGTTACAGTATCTCTCTCAAAAGTACGCAATTATATTGATAATATGATGAATTGCGTCACTTAACCCGATATGACATTTTTGCACCGAGCGTTTTTTGCGGAAGACTGAACGATGTTTCACAGCGTGCAATGTTCGCGCCAAATGCGACGCGACGAAATTTGAGGTTCTCGTTGCGAAGCAGAAAAATAAATGATGACATTGAAATAAAAAAAAAAAAATTCTTAAGTCTGCCAAATGATCGATACAAATGTTTTTATCTTAATATATCTCGATATATAATTCTCAATCTATATTTTACACAACATCCAATAAAGCGCGCGATAAGAAACACGCGTATGCGGACTGGGAAATGTGTCGAGCGGATAAAAAATTGTCACACATCATTTTTTCTCAGTTGCTATAAATAGTTTTAATTTTTACTTCTTGAAAGCAAAATCACAGCTACATAAGATGTGGTTCCGTAATCGTTAATATAATAATTAATTAATAATAATAGGGCTCACGCACGCCCGATCTGTAGATATAAAAGACTACAGAGCGGACCTGACGAGGAAACGCCTTCATCAAATAATATATATAATATAATAAAAATAATAATAGAGAATAATACACAGTATAGTATCCGCACACTCGTCCTGTAGATTCGAAGGTTGCAGGACGGGCCTGACGGGCAGAAAAACTTAAACAGAGTAATATAATAATTATAATAATATAATAATAGGTAAAATTATATAATAGTTTCTTCTCTTTTTCTTTTTCTCTCTCTCTCTCTCCTCTCTCTCTCTCTCTCTCTCTATCCTTCTCTCTCTTAGATCTCCATACAGCACATATAATACTAACGATCATAAACGATCTCTTTCTAGCTTCTCCGAATATAGTACGATCTACTGGTATACAACCCTTTCACTTTACTCTCGATTCGCTTCCTTCGAAGGATATGACCATATGTATGTATATATTTCATATTATATATGATAATATATATAACACATTATCTTCACATATATAAATTATATATATTATATATATAATACAGTTTTTCTCTCTATCTTTCTCTCTCTCTCTTCCTCTCTCTCTCTCTCTCTTTCTCTCTCTCTCTCTCTCAATATTTATAAGGCATTATACATCGTTACTATATAATTATACTCTCTTTTTCTCTCTCTCTGTCACTCAACGTTCAATCAGAATTTGTCTCTCGTAATGACATATTTCGAGCAGACACAAATTGTTTTTTTCTTTTTTTTTTTTTTGTTTTATTTTTTTATTCTCACTCGATCACTCGATCCGGTTTCGCTCGTTTCTTCACGCACTTTCGACTCTAAAAACTAAATAAATATTATACAGATTTGTCTACATCGACCACCATGCCTAATTCTTCCATAGTCCCGCGCAAGTCTCTCGCGACTTAACATAGTAAAACTGTACTTCGACTCTTGATTTTATGGCACTCGTTTAATGGCTGGACTTCAGCCTCTCCACGTTCCCGATGCGAACAATATATATATATATATATATATTGTATCTTCGGCTTTGCGTTTTCGTTCTTTTCTTCTACTTCTGGGGTATCCGCTTCGCTATCACATTACATCGCGCGGATACGACACGCGATACCGCGAGATCAACGAACTCTCCCCGCGATTTTTGATAACCTGCCGCGTAAGGAATAATAAAAAAAAACGCACCGTCGACGTGGACAGGATGACTATCGACTTGCTATGGAATGCTACTATTGTAATATTTTTAAGAAACATTTAATAAAACATCGAGTCCATCCTCGGCTCGTTTCCAAGGGATCCGCTCAGTCGGCCGCGTATCGGGGATACCTGTCGGCCATTCTTGGTCACCACAATAGATCCGTCTCATTGGCTAATTAGTGAACTTGTTATTGCAAAATGGAAAAAAGTTGTGAGAATTGTAATAATAAAATTAGAATTTCTCTAAAGGCGCGCGCGCGCGACATTTAAAAAGCCTAATTAAAAATAAACTATATAATATTCACTCGCCCTTTATAAGTATATATAAAAAATTGTGTTTTTTTTTTGTTATTTTCATTGAACTTGTCTTAACAATTTTTTAAGGAACGACGATGATTTGAACAATTTATAAAATTTCTTTAGGATTGTATATTGATGAAGAAGCTGTGTGTGTTCTTTAATTGTAAATAATTACACGTTTTAAAGATTTTTATAAAGTTTGTGAGATTGTTGTATTATCGCTTTCAACATATTTTGTAACTTATGACTATGAGCCGTGCGAAACGTATTGTTAATAATAACACACGTTTACAACTGCAATAAACGAAGTTTTCATTGCAAAATGTTTCAGTTCGATTATATATTACAGCGTCTTATAATCGTTTACTTCGCGATATTGTCGCTACACAAATTGATACACTTCTGCTGAGACAAGACATATTTTCGACGATGCAGTACGACTTCTTTGATTACAAGACTCTCGATATGTAACATTTTTTTTTTACACACAAGATTTATCTAATCTTTTTTAGAAATTTGCATTTCTTGCCGGGTAATGAACTTTGACACCGCATATTTTTCGCAGAAACGATATAGGTCCAAGGTTTTGAATCACGGTCGATTAATGTCTACTATAAATTACAGAGAAAGATATAAATTATCAAATTATTATCATGTAATGCGATAAAAGAAGTAGAACTTTGTAACGATGTTTCTTCAATTGAGAGAGCAAACACGTTCGATTTACATTACAAAGTACAAGTTTCATCATAAAACGGAAAGTTGTCTGATGTAACAAATTTCTTTGCGTCGTTATCCGCTATTAAAAATATGCAAGCATAAAAGCAAATTCTACAAATAAGAAGTTCTTGTCTACAATTCTAAATAAATCTGTTGCATTGTTGGAGATCTGGTTTTGTAAACATAAGATTAGAAAAATTTTTTAATTTTTGTGACTGTATAAAGTATATGATTCATTTTAAACACAAATCGTATAGACAGTTTAGTATAATAAAATGTAAAGACGTTAGAATGGTCATTTAAATATCAGCGACTACACTCTGCGATTATTTTATCTCTCTAGTTGATGTTTTTTTAAGGCACTCTAAACATCCAGTTGCTAAATCTACAATCGCGTCTTTCGATATCAATTAATTTAACATAAATTAATTCCAGATGAGAATTTAATTACATTACGATCGCCAAAATCGACGACGAACATATTGAAAAAAAAAAAAAAAAATATTATATTTATATCTATATTAAAAAATTTATTATATTTATTTCAAAAAATCTGATTTTCACACAGTTCTTGATTGATTGAATTTTTCTAAAATGTGATCGCGCGACTATTAGTTGTTATATAAATTGTTGCTTTGATTATACATTGAACAAATATCCCACTGCGTGTCTACTGTTGTACGTTAAAAGTCGCTAAGGCACGGCACTATAAAAAGAGTTTGGAAAAAGTTCTAAAGGCACCCTAGCGCGTCGTCTCTCGCCGAGCAGTCGCGTAATATTTTGCACACCACGTTTCATTTTGTCCGCCGAGGAAATATGCGTGTGTCTCTTCCAGCTTTCGTATATTTCGCGTTGATCTCTCCGGATACTCCTTATCATTCATCCGGTGTTATTATCTCTCGCCGTATATTACGTTTTTATATGCACAAAAATACACAGACAGCGCGCGCGTATCTTGTTTCAAAAATAAAATAAAAAATCAATTGGTTATAATTGATTAACGATTATTTCCATTCTTTCATCGTTTGTATTGCTTCTAAAATAAGATCAAAAACGCTCTCTGATAAGAAGTACACGACGAGATTAGATTAAATTCCAAAAAAGAAAAAAAAAAAAACTAAATTCCGTTAAAAATGAAATTAGACAGAATCGTACCATCGTTGAGCATACTTTGGAAATAGAAGCGCGAGAAATCTGTTGCTCCTTTAAAAATTCGTACCAATCATCACATATTACGTACATATATATAATACACATACATATATATATTAAACAGCTTTGCGTTATGTCGATCAGCGACCGTATTTTAGAATATATTTCAAATATATTTTTTTTTCGCACATAAAATATATTTAACTTTCGCCTTCCCGATTTATAATCTCGTTTTTTTTTTTTTATCTGATCGTTCAACGATCGTCGCTCTGCCTTGCTCTATTCTCCTCTTTCTCTCTCTCACTCTCTCTCTTTCTCTTTCTCTCTTTTTCTTATGTCTCGGCTCGCAGTCTTTCTAATTCTCGAGTTATCAATACTGCTTGTGATTCATCGCGTACCCTCCTAAATATAATCCAGTCAGAAAACAAACATATACAATCGTTTTAATTTGTCACACTTTGAGCGCATAATAATAATAACGTTGCAATGGATCATTATCATTGCACAATCAACTAGTCAACAACTCTAATTCGTGATTGCAACAAAAATAAAATAAAAACAAACATAAAATTTTACCTACAAATAGAAGACGATAAAGGTATAATAAGAGTAGTTTACATTTCACGAAAATAAGAGCCAATGTATATATATTAAGTTTTTTCTCGTTATCGATTGTGCAATAGAAATACCCCAACGCATAAAATAATAATTACACACTATCGACATACTAGTATTATAGTAAGCGTATCTATCTAAGACGATAAAAGATATTGATATCTTTTTTTTGCTCTTCTAAAATGATGAAACAAACTTCGTCAAATCGATCTTTATACTAATTTTGTAAATAATAATTACTCCGATTATACGACATATACTCTCTTTTTCATATTCGTTTTCTTCGCGTAATAAAGAAATTATTTCACGATCGTTGTAAGGATTATTCACGCGGAGGGTACACAGGATGATACTAACAAAGGGAAAAAAAATGTACAGAATTCCGTTACTCTTCCTATTAAATATCATAGTTTGTCTTTTTTTTTTGTGCTAAAGCTACAAGTTATAGGCTTGTCTTCGTATTATTGTCTTAGGTGCTACGCCACGTTCTCGCGTCTCTCGTTTTTTTTTCTCTTCCAATTTTTGTAATACAATATATGATAAAAATGTATTTTGAGATTCGACTAACGTGTAAACGTTTGTTAACAGACGATGGAATTTAATATATATTCGAAGTTCCATCTTGTTCGGACACTCGAAGGTGTTTTTTTTTTTTTTAGAATCTGGAAAACGCGGTGCTCGATAATGCGATTGTTCGTTTCGATTCTCAAAAATTGTCTGTTCGCGTCATTTTGTTCAGACTCTAAGTACGGAGAGACCGAGTTGCCTTAACGCTTTTTTTTTTCCCGACATTGTTACAGATACGAAAAGTATCTTAACCATCGAAAGTCTTCATTTATTAATATATTTCTCCTGAAGATAAACGTTACTGACTAGCCCCCTGTATCGATTGGCCACTGATCATTCACCATTACCAGGAACATAACTCGATCGTGAACGATCAAGGCACACGAGTGATCTTTCGGGGAATGTCTGTAGGGACTAGGAATTTTTGTGTCTTTTACGGGTCTTTTTCACAATTTCGACCGAACGGAGTTTTCTCTCACGGGACAAAAGTGTCGACGATGGGCATCGAGTTGAGACGAAGTCACTGACTAGCCCCGTTATCGATTACGCACGATTCTCCATCTCTGGTCGGGGGATGACGGCCGCGCCCATTCTCTAGGGGAATGTCTACAGGGACCAAGATAATGCTTTATTTCGGACGTTCCGCCTCGCGCGGAACTTCTACGGGAGAGATCGTTAGGTGTCCATGTGTCGGTACTTGTGTGCCGACATCTGCGCCAGGCCCAGCACCGCGTACTGACACTGCAGGCAGTGATAGTGAGTCTGCTTGCCAGAATGCTGGCACTGTCCGGATCCGCAAGGCTGACTCGGCGTGAACTTCTGAAAGCCCGCCGCCGCGATACTGTCCAACTTGGCGTGCTGTCGCCGATGAGCGACCACTTTGTTCGTATCCGTGCAGACGAAGTCGCACTTCAAACAATGAAAGTGCGACGCCTTATTCTGCATCGATCCGAGAGATGACGTATACGCGCATTGTGCTCTGCCACATGGCACGTTCGCCCGGTACTGCTGAAAGTCACCTCCCATCAGGGTGTCCAATCGTTCGTGTCTCGCTGTGTGCTGCACGAAGCGAGTTTTGTCGCAGAACGAATAACCACAGTCTTGACGCATACAGTGGAAGTGAGTCTGGTGCTCTCTGTAACCGCAATGAGGATACCTGCAGTCTTCGTTAAACCTGAATCTGTAACAACAAATAATAATGATCAAAATATTATAAATCGTTTCTTCACGTGAAAGATCTTTAAGATCTGATTAAAGCGACGCTAACCTAACATATCCCTCTGGCACAGGTTCGTCCTTCAGCATGCGCATCGAGTGATGAAGTCTCTGCTTCTTGGCTTCCGGCGAGTTAGCGTCCGGCGGCGAGAGAGATCTCTTGTTCAGATTGAGATTAGCTGCCAATGAAGCGAGAGGATTCTCGTCTCTCGTAGGTGGAAGAAAATTAGCCGGCGGTAAACCGGGCGCGAACATCAGCCCGGGTCCACCGGCGTACATTCCACCGTGTTGAAGAAACGGGGGTAGGGCCTGATTCATCAGAGCGATCTGTTGATTCATAGCGGCCATCACAGCGGGACTCGGAAAGTGAAAGCCGTGGGCTAGATCGAGCTCGAAGCTCGTTGGTACCGTAGGCTGTTGCACATTTGCAGGCGGTTGGATCGGGGGTGGTTGCGGCAATTGGCCATTTTCGTGACTATCCATCGCGGAATTGTTGGCTTCTTCTCTGGAAGGAATTTCGGGAGGTTCCCGCTTAACATTCGGCACATTTTGCACGCCTATGTCCGTGCTGCATCTCGGTTTTTCCAACTTGATATCTTTCGGCGATTGTGACTGCTGGCCGAGACTCTGCTGCATTTGACGCTGCATTTGGTTCTGAAAGTTCTGAATATTCTGGGCCATCTGAGCGTTCGGCGACATGAAGTCGTGTTTCTGCGACAGTTGCGCGATGTAGTCGTGCTGCAGCTGATTGGGCGACGGACTGACCATATCGTGCTGCTGTTGGCTGAGGATGGCGCCGGTCGAGTGCTTCGCTATATGAGCGACCAAGCGATCCAATTCAGAGAAGGCTTGATTGCACGCGTTACAGTGATAATGATTTTTGCGTTTAAGCTTGCAGAACGGCCTGCTGCAGCTTTGTTCCGGTCCGTAAAGAGTGTGCGGCGAAGTTGAGTTCAAAGACGGCATAACTGGTGATGATTCTGGAACGTGAAAAATTTGTCTTGATACAACAGATCCATACGGGGACGTATGAAACCGCGAGAGACAAAGACGAACTATAATTTTATACAAATACACGAACACTCTCAAAAGCAAACAAAATTTGGTTCAAAAGAGAGACAGACGAACCTTGGTGCACGGAAGTTCGCATGGATAGCACGACGCCCGGAAGTGCGGGTTCACTCGGCGGTCCGCTGACCGGATAATAGGTGCCAGCCGCCCTCACCACTAGCAACAATCAACCAAACAACCAACACTTCAAATATACCGCCCACTATATGAATACAACCACCGTGTGTGTACATACAGTATATACATCGAGAAAATCAAAACGATAAAACAGTCTCACGAGACAAAACCAAACAATCGGAAAAATAGTGAAGAATATTCTACTTTGACGACAAAGTGCAAGATATGACGATGGATACATTGGTGCGCGACTACGTGCAAAGATGCATGCATATAATACTCGAATAGAAGAAAAGGTCTCTGTTGTGTGTTCTTAAAAAAAAAAAAAAAAAAAATCACTACCAAACGAAACTTGCTTGTGAATGAAATCATCAGAGCGCACACTGATTTTTGTTCTCTCTTTTCTTACTACTCACCGGTGGTCTTGCCGCTATCGGGACTCGCGAGTTCCGACTCCTTATCCTCAATCATCGATCTGTTTTCCTGATCGCTCGCCATCAAGTTCTCGTCCGGCTTTTCGATCAGTTCGGCCGGATTTTTCACCTGAATTCTCGGTTTCGTCTCCTGAACCAACGACTGAGGTTGCGTTTGACATTCCTGATTGCTCGACTCCTCGATTCCTCGACCGCAGGATTCGGCGTAACCGGAATGTTGCTTCTCGTGTAACGCCATCGTCGAATATCTGACAAATGAGTATCCGCAGTTCGGTCTGGTGCAGTGAAAATGTCGATTCACACTGTTGCTGTGACAGCCGATCAATCGGCAATCGACCATCTTGTCGTAGAAAGCGAAGCCCGGCAATATGTCGACGTTGTCGTGAAAATCCTTGCTGTGCATGAGCAGTTGTTCCGGCCGATCGGTGGAAAAGTAACATCGCGGTTGCGAACAATGATGATGCCTGGTCGATCGAAAGACGCAGATCGTGTCCGGACATCCCTCGGGATTGTACGTAGCGAATCCTTCGGGCTCGCCCAGACTGTTCGAAGGCGACACGCTGCCATCTCGATCTTCCATCAACGGATTTGGTGTTAAATTGGGAGTCTGCGGTTTTGGAAGCTTGAAACTGGTGAAAATCGCTTGCGGCGAGTCATGAGTATGCGTAGCGGGATCGCCACCCGACCAAATTTCTATCACACGATTTTTCGGCGGTCTGCCACGTTTCCGCCTGAACATCGCGTCGATATTGGTCAGGTGGGTCAACGTTACGTCGGATGAAAGAGCGTGAGAAGTACACGAGAGGTTCAATTGTCGACTGTACTCGTGAATTTTGTAATGCTGCAACCTACGGAACGGTTTATCGGTGGAGAGTATCACTTCTCGACAGTTCTCCCAATTGCAGTGATAATGCTTTTCCTTGTCCGCGTACGGACAACCGTCGTCGCAACCGCCCTCTTCGAAAAAAGCGTCCGTTATGCGTTCCTGAGTCTCGTGTTCCTTCAAATGTTCCCGAACTTCTCGAGGATCCTTCAAAGTGGCCCCACAGCGGTCCAATCCGCAATGATGATGTTCCTTTCCCACGTTGCAGGCGCATTCCGACGTAGCCGGTACCAGATACGTCAATTCTGCGGGACTCAATTGTTGTTGGCATTGCTGATGCGACTGCTGATCGAGACTGGACGAACTTCCGCTGGATGTAACGGTAGTGGTCGGAGCGGTGAGATCCATAGCCAGATCGCTCGCGCTTTGAAATGAATCCTCCAGAGAATAAAACGATGGAGAACCTCTTCCCTCGTTGGAGCTCTCGCCGTTCAGGCTCAAGGACAGACTTTGAGAGCTCAATTCGTCCGGCGCCCACGAACCGGGTGGACGTATACCACCGACCGCGCTGACCTGCTTGTACTTCCGGTACGCAAGTTCCGACTCGTGACGCTCGTGTTTCCGCTTGTGCGAAAAGAGCTGACCAGATGAGTGCAGAACGTAACTGCAGTGCGGCCGTATGCAATGAATGTGATTGCAGACACGGGAAAATCGACATTGCTCGAACGGACAGGCCTCCGACTTCATGAACTTCTTGAAACCGTCGCGCGACAGCTGCTCGTCTTTGATGTGGTAAGACTTGTGCTTGTCTGAAAAAAGGGAAACTTGATGAAATCGTGACGACCTGAAACTGGAACAATAAAAACCGTGTCGAATAATATTTTAGCGGTGTGGAATTATATATTTCTTGGTAAAAAAAAAAAAAAAAAATTGACTCTAAAACTTTCGACCTGTTAAGTGAGTCTATAGTAGTGAAAGGTTTTTGATTGACGACATTTATGACCTAGAACATCGAGAAGCATTAATCACGCGGTCGTTAATCGTCAATTCCTTACCCATATCGGCCTTATTTTTAAACGTGAATCGACATCCCGGTCGCCGACAGTGAAAGTGCGTGGTTCGTTGACCAACGAACGGACAGTGATCGGTCGCGCAACTCTCCGTAGCTCGAAATCGCTGAAAGCCCTCCTGTATGATGGCCGAGTCCTTGCGATGGTAATTCGCGTGCATCTGCACGTCCGACGTCGATATGTACACTTTGTCGCAATTCTCGTGTATGCAATGATAGTGGGTTTGCTTTCGATTGTGAGGACAGGCTCGGCCCGGATGCTTTTCCGAGCAATCGTCCGTAGGCGAGTATCTCATGAAGCCGTGCTGAAGAGACTCGTCTCTCTTCTTGTGCCACTTGAAGTGCCTGATCATCTCTTCCTTTTTCACGAACACGCGACCGCTGCAGTCGAGACAATGAAAATGTTCTTTACATCCCAATTCCTTACAATACGCACTGCCGCATTCTTGACCAGATGTATATCTCCTCACGTACCGGGAATAATCGATGATGGGTTGAGACACCGACGTTTTGGAACCACCCATCAAAGAGTCCGCAACCGGTGACATACTTTGCCGAAGTAAGGCTGTAACAAATGAAACAAAAAATATTTAGATACTTGAACTCTATCAGCTTTATTTAATTAATTCATTAAGGAATTATTTTAATTATACACGATTATAATGCTCGTTGAGTGTTTAAATAAAAAGATAGGTAAAAGGCAATAACAAGCTAACACCTGATGTTCGGGTAAAATTCTTTTTTAATTCGAAGATTTAAAAAAATATCATTCTTGAATAAATTTACTTATATATAAAAATAAAACAACAGTAAATATTATTTATATTCAGAATTAATTTCTTTTTTTCATATACATATATTCATGAAGATAATTTACATACTTTTTGTAATTATTTTTAAATTAGTTATGTGCAACAAATAAATTAATTATGTGCAACGCACAAAGGACCAGATAACCATATTCATTTTTACTCAAATTTAAAATCGAATTAATATATAATTTTCAAACTCGAGTTTTTACTGACAATTTATTAAAAATTTGACGATTTCTGAATGTGTGGTCTATAATCTGAAATAATTTTAATAAGAATCTGATTTATTACTGTTTGCATATCACCGTTAAATAAAAATATAAAATTCTAAAAAAAAAAAAAAACAAATAAACTTCGCTATAAATATTTGATCTTTAAGCCTATAATTTACATTTATTTGCGTAATGGTTATTCCCTGGTGTGCGGTTTGTTACTGGGCAGTTTACTAGAGAGTTGTGTTGATTATAATAAATCGAAAAGTATTTAGTTTTTACATTTGTACTAATCTGTGTTAATTTTTCAAGATTTAACATTTGTTTTTTTGTCAATTACTCGATAGATCACAAACTAATTTAGAAATCGATGTTCGATACGCTGCAAGATAGTCGGTAAGACACGGTTTGATCGGTACAATATGGTTTGCTGGTACGTAACCACCTCTCTCCGCAGATGATGCGGCGGCATCCAACCATCGTATTTTACCGACCGTGCATACTCGGCGCGATGTATTCGTTCACGACAATACTATCTAACCGCACGGTTTGCGCTCACATCACCAGAGAGAACGCGTATCAGCGCGAATGACTTGTGATACACATACCGAGAATTATGAGCGCGCCCCGCGCGTTCGTCGACCTACGCCACTCTCCCGCGCGGCGTCCGAAAACTGGTTGTTCGGCGAGCGAGGGCGCGGGGACGTCGCGGAATAAAGAAGAGGGCGAAAAAAAAAAAAAAAAAAAGAGAGCGCGGGAGAGAAGAAAGAATGGTCGAGGTAAAAAACTATCGGGCCGATCGCAATACGCGCGCGTATGCAAAAAACGCGGCGTGGCCGCGGGCGAAGCTGAGGCGCGTAAGCATTTATATACCTCGACGAGAGCGCGTTCATAGCTCTCTCCTAAAAGGCTCGAAACAACACAGCCGCCGCGCGCAAGAAAATATTGAGCGCGAGAGATACGCAATTCAGTTGACCAATCCTCGCTCGCGATAATTATCTCTCGAGGTAATGCGCGGCACACGAGAGATGGAAATAAACTGTGCGCGCCGAACGCCACCACGCCGCGTTCTCCTTTTTTTTTGTTTTTTTTTTTTTTGCCTAAACGAATGATTCTACAGTTAAAGCGCTCTCGAAGCGGTCGCATTTGCATTTTCTTTGCCGAGATGTATTAAAATTTTATTATTCGCGCGCATATATAGTCTCGAACGTGCGCGCGGATCAATCAAAATCAATCGCGACTCTCGACGAGATAATAATCTTTTTCGAAGCGTAAAATGCCGATACATTGCGTGCAAAAAAAAAACCCCCATCTATAGAGGTCTATACAAGATTAGACGGCACGAAATGTATCAACGAGTATAATTGCGCGTGTGAACATTAAATTACATGTGCGAATCGAGAATAAATGGTAATTTGCAATTGATTTTCATTAATTTATGAGACATTTGTATCGGAGCCAATCACGCAGCGATAAAAAATTACATGTCACATTGACCAGACGCCAATGTTCTACAACCTTACAGCATCTGTCATGTCATCCAGCGTTCGGTGCACCCTGCCAGAAGAACGAGAAGGTCAATTCTCAGAAATTTCCACTTGTGCCGACCGCGCACGCGCGCGCGCGCACGTTCGGATGTGTTCGGGAACGAGTTTAAAAATTGTCGAATATTTCTCGTGTGGCTCGCGGGGACTCCCCCCGTTCGTCGCGGTGGTATATGTGCCGTCAGAATTGGAGGGAACGTGCGTACATTGGCCGCTCGTGCGTTTCTGCGCGCGCGCGCGAGAGAGAGAGAAAGAGAGAGAGAGAGCGTATGTGCGCGCCTCGGCACAAAAAGAAAAAAAGGGTTTGGCCCGGAGAGAAAGAGGGAGGCTAAGAGAGAGGAAAAGAAAGAGAAAGCAAAGAAAGAGGGACGAAGGTCACGAGAGAGGGAAAAAGGCGGCAAGGGGAGAATTTGGCGCGCATTATTCTGCCGCGTTATAACGATGAAGCGTAGACGGTATCTCAAGATGAAATATAGGCCTTGTGGTACGCCTTGCGCGTTATTTCCAATGCGAATCCGCAAGCCGATCCGTTTCGAAAAGTTCGCGGCGACCAAAAAATCAGATCATTGACTTCCCCCCCGACCGTAATTGATTAACGCGTCGTGCGGATTTAATAACAAGCGCCGGTGTCACCGGATATGCTCCCGGTTACGCATCGTTGCGTAACTTTCGGTTACGGCGAATTAATTTATCCTTTGGCAGAGTAATTACGCAACGCAGCTGCGTGCCTCTCCTCCCGACACCGCGTATCTCTCGCGTTAGCAGCCGCTCATTACAGGCACCTTTGGCTCTCACGCGCCGCGGGAAATTATTGTTTGCACAAATTTATAATCTCCGCTGACTGCTGCCGCAGGTCGAAACTTCAAGTATACAATAATCAAGAAATGCTCCTCCTCAAGCCAAGGTCCGACATACGCGTCGTCGTATCAATCGAAGATGTAATGTTGAGAATAAAACCGGAGAACATTTTGTTATTTTTTATTTTTTATTTTTTTCATGAAAACAAAGCGTGTAATAATATATCGCAAACTTCACCTCCGTATCAAGGAATGTTAAGCTTCTTCATTGATAAGTATCTAATTATGGAAAAATTGTTCCGAAATTGTGTAGCTAAGTGAAATAAATTATGCGCCTTAAGGCTACTTGAAAAAAAAAAAAAATACGATAGATTCTTTGCGATCATAAATACATAGTACTATTCAATTTAAAAGCGTTTATAATCAAAATAAAAATCACTTATTTTTTTTCGTTATTTGATTTATTTTCTTATTTCGTATTGGACATATTTTCAATTTATATTACGGGCACGCGCTTTTGAACGAGATGTTGAAGTTAAAATATTCACTTGTCTCTCTTATCGCGCTCTAATATTTATTTTTAATACTTATCTACAAATTAAGATATTTACTTATCAACAATTTTTTTGAAAATCAACTAGAGATAGCGTTAAAATATAATTCGAAACTTTACGGAATTTACTTACACTGTGTTCGCTACATTCTGACACTCGTAAATGTACTTTATAATACTTATTTTAATTTTATACAACGAGTCCGAGGAGGAGGTTACCTGAAGTTCATATAAAATTAAAGAGTTTAATTTACAAACAAAGCAAAGTTTTAAATTCGATATTCTCTCGATAAGTAATTTCCTGTTTAAACAGCGCTACTGCATGTATAAAATATCGCTTCGCTCTTTGCAATTTTTTTTTACCTTAGAATTTTGTGACTTAGAAGAGATTGATTATCAAACCTCATTTGTATTCTTATCATGTCAGTTTTATTGTGTATATATATCCGCGAAACAACCATTTAAAAAATCCTGTTTTTGCGTGATAAAGAAAATACCACCCACGCGACCGCGCGCAAGTTAACGATGGCACCAAATGGAGAATAACGCGCACGACGTGACAGAGCTTAAAGAGCAAATCTTAAAAAATATGTGAAAGTCCCCCAGGACGACACGTAACCGAGACTTCCCCCCTTCTCCTCTTCGTATCCAGCACCTCTGAGCTCCGAACCCCTTTTGTACGTAGTTCTTAAAGCTGCGTGAGCGGGGGAAGTGGGAGCCGATCCCGATTCGTGGAGAGAGAGAGGTGGAAGCGCGGGACGACAGTTCCGAGGGGGTAGGCGGGGATTTAAAATTTTCAAAAAGACCCGAACCTGAAAAGACCCCGTATTTCAGGGTCGTCGGGGGGCTCTCCTTTTTTTATCATTTAATCCGTGGGCCGAGCGAATAACCCTTTATACGAGCCATCGTCGTGGTAGACGTCGAGAAAACGGTTGCTGCCACCGTCGTTCGACCGCGCTCACGTGCACCGCTTCTCTCTCGCTCGCGTGTATGTCGTGTACACGCACTTTACACGCACGTTTTTACGCGCGCGCGCACACGCGTACGTACGGAGGGGTTAACGTAACCTACCTACGAAACTGCGTGTTTGGATAATGCCCGTCGAGTGCCCGCTGCGCTCGCCGATTCGTCGTCTTATAGTCGCGGCGATCCCCATTGAACGCTTTTTCTTCTCGAGAGGTTCTAAATACCGGTGAAAAAAAAAAAAAGAAAAAAAAAAGAAATATATGTGAACGGGTAACAACGAAAGTACAAACGTGCCCTCTTTCCTTTCTCTCCGCGTCGGTCTTTCGCCTCCTCTTACCCTCGGGTTGCAACCCTTCCTCGATGGTCCTCGTCGCGACATTGTTTCCGGAAAAATGGCTTCCCGAATGGAGCCGCCGACCAGATGTGATTTAATGACCCAGAATCAACGTTTAGGGCACTCGATCGGGAGCATTTCTGCCGCATGGGCACCGAGCGCACAAAGACTAATTTTCCTTATCTTCGCGTTAGGCAACGCGTGTAACGTGATTTCTAACAAATGGTCACTTTCGAGTGTATATATAGGAATATATAGAAAAAGCGTGCGATGTATTTGTTTGACCGAACTATATCAAATCAATAATCAAAGATCATTCATTCCGTGTATCAAAACATACACCGAAA